GGGGATGTTTTGTGTGTGTGTGGGGTGGGCGGTGGGGGGGAGGGGGCAGGGGGGAGGGGGGGCTGGTCGGTTTGGTCGCTCACCGTATCCCTTTTCGAAGTCCTTGATCTGTTTGGAGAGTCGTGCTATTTCGGAGTCCTTGTCCTTCTCGGCCTCCATCTGCGACAGCAGCTGACTCGTCACACGCTGAACAGTCAGTCGATGGATGAGGCAAGAAGGCGTACGTAACACACAAGACAACACAACACACAGATCAGGAGGGGAGGCAGGCCACGTATGTGTCTGTCTGTTGGTATGAAGGACCTTGACTTCGTCTTCCATCTTCTTTGTTTGGGCGTCCGACGGCACGCCGCCAGTGATGGCAGAGATGTCCCTCTTCGCCGCCTGACACACACACACTTTCATGAGTGCACCCATTGCTGGATCCATCCGTCCGCAGCCAGCCCACCGGCTGTCTTGCGGCGGTGTCAGCAATGGCCTCGAGCTCTTCCCTGAGCCGGTCCACCTCCGTATCCCGCTCGAACAGCAGCTCCGTAAGCTCATCGATGTCGATCTCGCCGCCGCCCTTGCCCCGCAGACGCAGCAGGTTCTTGGCCGCACGCAAACTTGACACCTCATGCTCCAGCTGGGCAGCTGCATTGGAGTGGGAAACAGAGCATTGATTGTGCCGGTGTGTAAGTTGGTCTGTGTGGGGATGCAGATCAGATCATATGGACGTGAGTACCTCTGTGCTCGACCAAGTGTTTCTCGTCCGTGAGTTGGTTGACGAGCTGGTCGCGGTCCTCTATCAGGGCGTTCACACGCGACTCGTACTCACGCTCAAACCTGACCGAATCGACGTAAGCAGACAGACCGAGCCAAATGGGGAATGAACGAGTGAGAGTAAGTGCGGTCGGTGCTCTGTACAGTGTCCGCCATCATCCCCTCACTCACCTTTGCTGTGCCTCTACTTGGACATTTTTCTCGTCGAGCATGGCGCGGAGGGTCATGACGTCGCTGTGCAGCGACTCTACCTCCACTGTCTTCTGCTCAGCCTGACAGCAACCCATACACAGGCAGACACACGCACTCAGATTTTCCACAAGTATGTGTGGCGGGTCTGTGGCTGGCTCGCCGCCCGACCTGTTGCCTAAAGGCCTCCATGTCCTCGCCGAGCTGCTCCTGTGTGCGTTCGAGGAACTGTGTGTCCTGCCTGAGGCCTTCCACCTCCTCGTGCAGCGACCGGTTCTCCTCCTTGAGCTTCTCATTCTCCTTGAGCAACGTATTGTTGAGCGCCTTGGCTCGACGCAGCTCCACACGCAGCGCCTCGCTCGGGTCCTCCTCACCCACACCAGCCGACAGCCTCGACTCGCGCTTCCGCTGGTCCTCCTCGTACTGCATCACGTCGCGCGAGAGCAGCGTCGATGCGTTCTTCTCCTGCTCCAGCTCATGCTGCAGCCGCTTGATGACGTGCTGATTCTCACGCAACGCCTCGCGCTGCTCGAGCGTCTCGCGGCGAAGGCTGTCGAGCTCCTGAGTGGCCAGGTCGGCGCGCTGGGTAGTTGATGTCAGCTGCTCGATCTGCCGCCGCTGCTCTTCTATGATGCGATCCCTCTCTCGCAACCCGCCATCCATGTCACCAACACCAGGGGAGCCAGATGCAGCTGCTGGAGGGTAGGATGGGCCAGCGAAGGGCGGTTCAGACGTGGGCTGAGGCGCCGATGACGCGGCCATTGCCTGGGCGTCTCTGGGCCTGTCTGCTGGCTGATCTCTTGCAGGCTGCCTGGGGGCTAGCTCATCCACAAGTTCCTCGATTTCCGCGACCTCATCTCTGGCGGCAGGGCGCCTGAAGGCCGGGGGAGGCGGGCCGCCGTACATGGCTGATGAGTTGAAACTGTATGATCTTCACTCAGATAACGATGGTCATTTGCCGTCTTGACAGGCTCTCATTCAGCCACAGTGGCCACGTCTTTCCTCTCCACGCAGAGTCTTCGATCTCGCAGCTGAAAAACAGCCCGTTGCGCTTGGGAACTTCTGCAATGCGCCGTGCAGCGTCTGTCTTCAGCGTGCAATGAGTTTTGTGCCCTTCTTCGGAGCAAAGCAAGCTCGCATTCTTGCATCTAAGCTCGCATGTCAAGAGAGAGGAAGTCGGCGATGTTCAAAAGGTACGGGGAAAGATCCAATGCACGTGTGAGTGTCCTTGCAGCCGCATTGATGATCATCTTCGTGTGGCTGTCAGGTTCAGCTACAGCGACGTGTCCACGCAGAACCAAGTCAAGTCATCCGTGCAGAGGAAGATCCGAACAGACGTGAGCTGAAAACATCGCCCCGCATATGCCGCTGTGGAGATCTTCCTTGTGTGTGTCAATGGTGGACAGTTGCTCGAGCAGTTCCCACGCCTTGACCCTGTCATCGATGACATTCTTCCGAAGAAAAGCCCTCTAGTCATCGCCAAATGGTCAGCGAGGTGCCGCAGGTTCATTCTGCAACACGTGTGTGTTAGCTGTTAGCTGTTTGTGTGTTGTGCAGCCCCAACCAGATCCAGGTCGTGTTGGTCAACAGCGTGCCGGTGTGTGTGCAGTCGCGCGACGGCCCATGGGTGCCCACACTGAGGCTGCTCCACCAGCGTGAGCGACATGAAAGCACTGCACTGCCCTGTACTGCATCCCTCCCCCTTTCATCTCCATGCCTCCGTGTGGGTGTGAAACAAATATATGGATGGGATGGCATTGATTGATCAGATCCGTCGATGATGCCGAAGATGCAGGCCGACAAGGGCGCGACCAAGTTCATCATGGGCGGCGCCAACGTCATGTGTCCGGGCCTTACGCACCCCACTGGCGGCAGGATGGAAGACGTGGACAGGGGAGCTGTCGTGGTCAGTCAATCGGGAAGCGATGGATGGATAAATGGATAAATGGATGGATGGGGGAATGGACCATCGACATGTGCCGTGCTGGTTGTTGTCTGTCTGTCTGTCTGTCTGTCTGTCTGTGTTCAGCAAATTCTGCTCGAGGGGAGGGAGCATGCCTGTGCGGTCGGCATCATGACTATGAGCACCGCTGAAATGTACGCACCCAAGTACAACCTTGGTACCTGTGTGCTCTCTCCACCTTAATCGTATTGTGTTCTGTTGTGCGCTTTCTCTCCTCGGCTGTGTCGTCCATCCATCCATGCATCAGTCGGAAGGAGAACAAGGGTGTGTGTATAGAGGTGGTCCACGTGCTCAACGACGGACTGTGGAAGGTACGCAGGCGACGACCGCCACCGCGTGTCTGTCACCTCACCCCTGTCTGTCTGCACACGCCTGTACGTGCTGTCTGTCCTCTTTGGCAGACGAATCACTTCGGCTGAAGCGAAAGGTGCCTGCCTGCCTGCCTGTCTGCCTGCCTGGTTCGTTCAGTTGAGCTGCATTTCTTGTGATAGCAAGGGCATGGTGGACTGACAGGGACAGGGACATAGACAGAGAGGGTGTTTCTGTCGCGCGTGAGCAATGCCATCCCCGCGTATAGATGGGGGCGAGCAGTCTCTCAACCTCCATTGCTCTGCTTCCGGTTCTTCCTTTCACACTAAGTCTTCGCTGCTCCCTTTGCAGAGCACCGGGCATGCGAAGACCTCACTGCGCCACCCGGCACGACCCTTACCCCCACCATCCAGCAGCACGAGTACAGCACGTCTGGGAGTGGCAGTGCAGAGGGACTCATATCGCCCGACGCCATCAGCCGTCTGGACCAGGCCATTCGGCACACTGTGCCACGATGGTGTTGCCTTGAGTGTGGAGGGGCTGGTGTCCATGGGGCTGTCGACATGGGGCACGAGGGCGGTGACGACGTGTGTGCGATGGATCTGGATGGGGTGGATAAGCTCGTCCACCTGACTGGCGGCACTGATGGTAAGTCAGGCAAGCCACTACACCTCACCACACTGATCAGAGGTCATTCTGTGCCATGTGTGTGTCGTGCTGTGTGCAGAGTTCGTCTGTCATTCGAGTGGCGCCGCTGACGTGACTCACGTCAACGGCACACCGGACATCTGGGCGGACCAAGGTAGCCTCCTACACCGCACCACACACAGACACCGTGACAGCTGAAGTCACCCCCGCCTCTCTCTCGGTGTGTGTCTCTGCCCCTGGCCTCTTTGTTTGCTCCATCTCTCCAGGTTGTCATTCGGTGAGTTCAGCTGTTGGTCCCTCCATCCCCGGCCAAGACGGCCCACAACTCGTTCACGTCGCCTCCCTCTAGGGCCGCTCATTGCTGACACTGATCGCTAAGCGGCCGACCGCCGTGACTGATCATGTCGGTGGGGTCATCCGTGCAGTGCATCGCTGTCTACACTTCATATCTGACGGCAGTTGCCCACTGCACTGCCCAGCTTGTGCATATCTTATCCAGCAAAGACACTCCCTTATCCAAGACATCAGCAGACTCTTCCGTGTCATCTGTCTTTCACTGCGTCTTCCATGTCCATGTGGCGCATGAAGTCAGAGATCTACCTCCACGGTGGAGCAGGGAGCCAGCCAGGACTCATAGGAGCGCCGCCAAGCTGCCGGACATAGGAAAAATCGTGGGGGGGAAGAGAGAGGCTGCTCGCTTAGCTCGCAGACGTGGGCGAGAGCGAGGGGGAAATGGTACTCCTGTCGTACCTGGCGGCCTTCTTCTCCGCATTTGGTGCGATATTCTTCGTCTACTGCGCCTTCAATATCGCCCGGTGGATCTATGACGTCTTTCTCGCTTCATCAAGCGACGCCTATCTGGCGGCGTTCAAGGGCGACTGGGCGTTGATCACGGGTGCGGCTGGCGGCATCGGGCGGTGCTTCGCCGAGCAGCTGGCTGCACGAGGGTTGCACTTGATTCTGGCTGACATCAATGAGGCGGGCTTGGAGGAGCTGAGGGGCCTTCTGGCGGGCCGGTTTCCAGCCGTGAGCATCAAGACGATGAGGCTGGATCTCATGGGCGAGGCGGCGGCCATCGAGGCCAACCTCAAGATATTCATGCAGGACCACGGCATCAACAAGATCGGTACTACGTCACGCACACCAACGACACACTCACCCAATGCATTACTGACATGACGTCCTTTCCTGCGTGTCCCATCCCATGGCATGCGATGCAGGTGTGTTGCTGTGCTGTGCGGGCGGCGTGGGTCGCTATGCCGTGGTCAACGAGCGGCCGACGTCTGCGGTGTACCGTGACGTGCAGTACAACGTGTCGTCGACGCTGCTGTGCTGCAGCTTCGTGATACCCTACATGAAGCACAACGGCCGCGGACTCATCATGCTCATGTCTTCCATGAGCGCACTCTCGGGCATGCCCGGCTCGCCCGAGTACAGCGGGGGCAAGGCCTTCCTCCGGCTTTGGAGCTTCTCGGTCGAGGAAGAACTCAAGATCGACAACATACTCATCACCGCCTTCACGCCAGGTACGTAGGTGGGTGGAGCTGCTGTGCTGGGCTGTGCTGTGCATCCTTCTCGGACGTCCCTTTTGCTGAGCTGTGATGGCATCTGATTGCTGTGGCTGGCAGGGTTCATAACAACCCCACTGACGCAGTACGCGCGGGGGCTGCTTGTTGCCGAGCCCGAGTCCTTCGTCCGCTGGGCCTTGCACAAGTGCCACCGGGGCCCGGTGTGCAACCCGCACCCGGGACATGCCCTGCAAGAGGCCCTCGGGGTCAACATACTGGGAATCAGGTGCGCACCACTCACCCACCCCAGGAAGGCGCAAGACTCCGGTGTCTGGTGCCTCTGGATGTATGTGCCTCTTGTGTTTGTGTGTGTGTGTGTCAGGTCGATGCGCAAGGCGGCGGAGATCGCTGCGTGCAAGATGGCCAAGCGTATGATGGCGAGCAAGAAGGAGGACGGCAGCCCCAGCCTGCTGGTGGAGCGCCAGGAGGCGAAGGACCATATCGAGAAGATGGCCAGCAAGCGAACGGCACTCTTCGACACTGCCGCCCGACCTGAGCTGTCCGTCGGACGGGTGGGTGGCTAGGGGGAATGGGGAGGTCGTCCGTGTGTCGCCTGTGCGGGTGCGTCCGTCCCTTGGTCTGTAATTCTCTCTTCGGCGTCATGGATGTCTGTCTGATATGTATTTGTGTGCCTACACAGAATGAATGCTACCTACGGTCGTGTCGTTTTTCCTTTTCCTTTTCCGCATAACTGAGTAACTTCGTCTGCGTCACACCCCTCGTCTGTGTCTGTGCCTCGTGTCGTACGTGTGTGCATTGCGTGCTATGTTGAATAGGCTTCGTGTCGCGTGAGAGAGAGGGGGAGGGGGGGGGAGGGGGCGCGTGCTGTATCGATCCATCGAGCGTATGCAATTCATGGCCGTCCGTCCGGTGCTGTGACCGACGAGCTAGCTGTGTTGAGTGAGTGCGCTTCACAGACAGATGCCCTCCCTCCCTAGCTATCATGATGTCTATTATATCTATGCACATATGTATGTATTTTTCCCGTGAGTCGATGTGTGGCGCCCTGCACGGGCGAAGCGGCTATCTATCGTTCGTTATTGTATGTCAGTCTTGCCGTTGAGAATGTGTGTGTTTGTGTTTGTGTATGCGCGTGTGCCGTTTTTCAAGGATGGTGGGTCATTTGTGGGAATGTATGTGTGTATGTGTGTATTGCCTGGCCATAAGCACATGCATACAAATGTGTGGGTGGTTGTGGTGCACACATGTGGGATCCTACTTGTGCATGAGTCGCAGTTTGAATGGATGGACGGCTCGAGTGCGTGCCGTGCGTGGCAACTCTGGCTGATTGATTGATGTGTGGACGACTGACTGTCCGCTCATCACTCGCGTGCATTCAATGCATTCAATGCAGTACAGTACGTGAAGACTTCACACAGGGTATCTGTTTGGGTCTCATCCATCCACCAACACCACAGAGCGTCCCCCCATGTGTCCTCCTTCGTTGGTCCCTCTCCCTCTCTTCACCTGTCGCCCTGATCAATAGGCGCCCCCACTGCTGATGTCGCTGTCGCCGGCTGGGTGTATCTGTGTCTCTGACTGTGGTGGTGCTGACTCGAACATTGGAAACATCGGGGGCGGGAGGGCTGACCCGACGTCACCATCAGCTGCAGCGGAGAATGCCCCTGCAGCCGGCGAGTCACTGCCATAGATTGGACCGGCCGCCGACGACGATGCAGCAGCAGCAGCTGCGGGGGAGGGCTCAGGAATTTTGCATGGCGATTGTAAATTTCGTACTCGGCAGGGTAGGGCTGACAGAGTGAATGCGGGAGGCTGGAGATGTTTCCCGTGCACCATCTGAGGGCCATGGTCCGCCTCCTGACCCTCCACATCGTTCTCGCCATCTCAATGTGGACCGCCACAGCCTTCGACTCTCCCCGGCGCCTGATGGTCGTCTACAGAGAAACCGCGAGCCCTCCGCCCTTCTCACGACGCCGGTTGGCCGACGGCACCCCCCTCTCGTCTTTCAGCCGCGTCCACCCAGACCACAGAAGGCGAGTGCTCTCACGCATGTCCTCCCACATGCCTCACCACAGCAACCACTCGACATTCCTCCCGCTGCTCGGCGTTGAGATCTTTGAAGCAGCTGCTGCTGAGGATGACTTGTCGACCGGCGGTCTGTCTGAGGTGTTGGCGGCGTTGCGTGGCGAGGATGGTGTGGAGGATGTGATGGAGGACAGCCCTGTTGATTTTGAGGCGAGCGGTTGGGAGGTCGACTTTATGCCATCCGAAAAGGGATGGGACCCCGACCTGCCCAAACAATGGGGCTTCGACAGCACATTCGCACAGCAGATTGGGTCCATCGGAGAGGGACCACCGGATGCTGCAGAGGAGCGTCATCACCACGCTGGGAGGGGGAGGGGTGACAAAGCCGCAGATCAAGGACCCAATAAGGCGGCCGACAAAGCTGTGGATGTGGACATTGATGCGGTGGAGGCGCTTGCCGAGTGGGAGCCGAAGGAGAAGGACGTGGTGATAGCGCTGATCGACAGTGGGGTGGACGTGACGCACCCTGACCTGAAGGGGCAGCTGTGGGTGAATGGCGGTGAGGTGCCGGACAACGGGATCGACGACGACGGCAACGGCTACATCGATGACATACACGGATGGGACTTCAAGTAAGCAAAAGTGGACAGGAAGGAGACCATGCGACAAACCAGCTGGACCGATGTTGATTGGTCTATCGCAGGGATGAGGTGCAGGGCCATGCGCCACAAGACACCTTCGGCCACGGCAGCCACGTGGCCGGCATTATCGCAGGTGTGTCAGTGAGTTCATCACGCATCCTTGCACGCTACGATCTGTTCCTTCCAGGTCGGCATCGCAATGACGTGGGCGTCGCTGGCGTCTGCCCAACCTGCAAAATCCTCGCACTGCGAATCCTTGACAAAAAGTACACTTCATACAGACAGACAGGCAAACCTTTTGCTTTGCTTTGCCATTCCTCCCGCTTCCACGTGTGTCCGTCGTCTCCTCCCCCTCTGTGCAGAGGTCGCGGGTACTGGAGTGACGCCATCCGTGCGCTGGAGATGGCCATCGCGGCCGGCGTGCAGATCACCTGCCACGCATTCGGCGCCCCAGACTACAGTCCGACCTTTGAAGTGGTCGCCAGGCGGTAGGCAGACAAACAGAAAAGACATTCTGCATGGACTCCATGCTGACGATTCGTTCGTTCAGGGCGGGCGAGAGGGGCATGCTGATCATTGCTGCCGCGGGCAACAGCGGCAAGCACGTGGACGAGAAGCCGCAGTACCCTGCCGCCATGCCTCTGGCCAACATGCTGAGCGTCACCTCCATCTCTCAAGACGGGTCGGTCAGCTGGTTCAGCAACACACATCCGAAGCGCGTCCACATGGCCGCACCGGGGGACAAAATATGGAGCTTGGGTAAGTGACTGCACTGTCAGTGCGACAGACAAACATGGCAATCTGTCCACTGGTTCGTTCCCCGTTTCTCAGATAAGGATGGCGGCTACCGATTCCGCACCGGCACGAGCCAGTCGACTGCCTTTGTCGCGGGGATTGCTGGTCTTTTGTTGGCCGAAGACCCCTCCCAGTCATGGGAGCAGCTCAAGGACAGGCTGCTGCGGGGCGTCAAGCCACTGGACAACTTGAAGGACATCACCAGCACGGGTGGCCTGGCCAGTGCACTGCTCGCGCTGAGGACCGAGAAACGACCTCTCGAGGAGATATGTGAGTGAGCTTCAAGGCGGGCACGAAAAGGTCGTCTCGACATGTGGTATGCATGCCTCATGTGTGTGTCAGATGGGGAGTGTCAGTTCCACGACCCCTGCGCGACGGACGCCACGTGCCATGATGCCAAGCATGAGAGCAAAGACAATGGGAAGGACCCCAAGAAAGGCGGCGAGATGCCCAAGCTGATGGCTGCAGAGGTCCTTGAGGTGGACAGGAAGGCGCTCAACGCCTCCCAGCCAACATGCACCTGTCCTGAGGGCCTCGATCACAACCACGCTAGTCTCAAATGCACCGGTAAGGCAACGCAACGCACTGATGGGATGTAATACGGCACTGATGCGGTCACCCACATGTCTTCCTCCCCTGTGGCGTGCACAGATCGAGATGAGTGCAGTCTGGGTGAGGAGATGCATGGCTGCAGCCAGGCCTGCGTCAACACGGAGGGCTCCTTCCACTGCGCATGCTGGCCCGGCTTTGCCCTCAATGACGACCGGCGCACGTGCTCGGCCGCCAAGGACAAGGAGGAGGCCGATGTCTCATCCCCGCCCTCTTCCCCCAAGAGGCCCGAGGGCTTCCTCGAGCAGCGGCAGCAGTCGCGGCTATCGCGCCCGTCTCTCTTTTCGTCCATCCCCTTCCTCCAGATCCCCGAGAATCTGTTTGGCTTTGGAGGCTTCGGCAACAGGAAACCTGACATGGCCACAGGGAGGAATCTTGCGGCTGATGACCCTTGGGAGGGCCCTGGCAGTAATGCGACGGATGTCCATTATGTGGCTGAGGAGGGGATCGGTCGGTTGCTCTCGCCTGTGGTTGTGCCGACGCCTCTGTTGGAATCCCCTTTATGGGGCGATGGTGATGGTGATGAGCAGGGGGGTCTGCTGGATATGGCGTTGGATCGAGTGGCCGTGAGGGATGCGCTGCATGCGTACGTGGGAGGTGACACGGATGGCGTGACTGACCTCTTGACCTTCTTGAACAGGACCACTCAGAGGACGACCCATGGCATGGCTGATGGATAAATGATATGGTGTGCAGTGCATGCGACTGAATGAGTGGGTTTTGCGTGGAGTGGATGGATGGATGGCCTGACAGTGTGTATCTATCTATCTAACCATACCATGCCGCGTGTAAAGTACACTTGAGTACTCTCGTCCATCCATCCCAACCGATCTGATCGGTCATACAAGACAAGCTCTTCCACAAACCAACCAGCCGTCCAGCGAATGATTATGCACACGGATGGGATGTCGCGGGTCTGGATGTCATGTGACTGACGGAGCACCTACCGTGTGAGTGAGGGACTTCATGAATTTGAGAGAATCCGACACAACGGACGACCCAATCTCATGCCGAAGAGACTGAGTCAAACGTCAAGGTCGAGTTCACCAAATCCATGAAGTGCCCTCCCTCTGAATGAATCAGCTGATAGGCCCACCCAATCCAGTATCGACGGGCCTCGCTATACAGTGAGTGACTGAGTGAGTGAACGGTGGGCAGGCACAATGCACAGCGGAGGCATCGGCCGTGGCAGGCGGAATCACATAGTAGGCAGGAAGGAAGGTCTGCGCAGAGCGGCCCCTGCGCACCCAGTCGATCACGTTAGTCAGCCATCTAAGCAGAGAGAAACACAGAGCTCCCCTCCCTCCCTCCCTCCCTCCCTCGCCGCCTCTTCCACTTAATTATAGGAGGGAAGTAAATAAGGGGGAGTGCTCTACCGTACCGATAGGCAACCATGCACCCCGCCACGCCAGCCAGCCAGCTACGCAGCCATCAATCAGTCCACCCAGCCACCCTTTCGTCCATCCCTCCCTGAACGACTTTCATTCAGGTCGGTCTGTCTGTCTGTCTGCCTGTCTGTCGACTCGACCCGGCCCGTCCGTCTTTCTTGGCATCGATCTGATCTACCGTACTGAAGTCGCCTGCCTGCCTGCCTCGATGGCTCAATCAATCTACACTACACACCACACCACAGTCTACCGTGGCCGCATCACTACGCCAGCTCTACGAGGGCATCTCCATGGGGTTCTTGACGGTCTTGATGGTCTCGGGCATGGTGTTGCTCGCCGGCCGCTTGAGGGGCGACTGGGGAGTGGGCCCGTTGAGCGATGGAGCTGCAGCGGCGGCCGTGGCGGTGGTGGCGAAGGGCACATTGGCGGGGGCACTCTTGGAGGTGCCCTGACCCCCGCCGCCGTGGCCGTTGGTGCTGACGACAGCGCCGCCCGTGACGGCTTTGAGTCGGGCTGCCGTGCCGCCGTGGGCGCCGGCTTTCTCGTCCTCACTGTTGGTGGCGGGGGACCGCTCGGCGCCCGGCTCGCTGTTGTGGAAACCTGATTGATACACGAATGAGTGAACAGATAGTTGATAGACTGATGTGCGGTGGTGGGGTGGGGGTGGGGTGTGGATTGGATGGGTGCGGACCGTACCGTACCTGCCCTGTGGTAGCACTCGTCGAATGAGGGCAGGTGGAGGCCGTAGTCCTCGTAGTCCGCCTGGAGCATCTCGTACGCCAACGTCTGCACCCACACCATCATGGCACCGGCATCAGATCACATCACACAGACGCGGTAGTCTGTCACATGGGTGGTGTGTCTGTCTGTCGGCTGGGTTGGGTAGCCTGTTCTGTTCGCTCACGTATAGGGTGTTTTCGGGCCGCCATCCGAGGTTGGTGCGTGCCTTGGTGGCGTCGCCCATGAGCTGGTCCACCTCGGCCGGACGGAAGTAACGCGCATCCACGCTCACCAACACACGACCTGATGGATTCACAGATGGACCAATCAGTGAGTGACAGAAGGACACCGTCCATCCAAGTACTGCACTGAGGTGGCGTCTGTTCTGTTGAGTGAGTGTATGCCCGCCCACCAGTGGCTTTGTCGACTCCCTCCTCGTTGAGTCCTGCTCCGCGCCACTCGAGGTTGATGCCCGCCAACGCAAACGATATCACCGTGAACTTGCGAACCGAATGCATCTCACCTGCACCGCACCCAGCACACAGCACATACACCCGGATGGTGTGTGGTGTGTGGTGTCATCTCCCACTACTCCAATCATTTAGATATCTGACCAGTGGCGAGCACGTAGTCCTCTGGCACCTCCTGCTGCAGCATGAGCCACATGCCCTTGACGTAGTCCTTGGCGTGACCCCAGTCGCGCTGCGCATCCAAATTGCCTGAGTGCACCCAGGAGCCGAACCAAGGCAACAAATCAGGTGGGTGCTCATGTGATGGGGTGGGTGTCCTACATGTGTGTGTGTGTGCGTGTGTGTGTGTGTGTGTGCATGGCGCCTCTCAAGCCTAGCAGTGTGTCTGTTAGGGTCGAGCGCAAACCATGGTGCTGACCGAGGAACAATCGGTCCTGCTTGCCGGCCACGATGCGCGCGATCGCCTGGGTTATCTTGCGTGTCACAAACGTCTTGCCTGCAGCAGCAGTGACAGACACAAGGCAGGGTTGTTGGTCGCATCGCATCAGGTGCATGGGATGTTGTTGGGTGCAGTCCGGTGCGTGACTGACCTCTCCTGGGGCTCTCGTGGTTGAAGAGTATGCCGTTGACGCAGTACATGTCGTAGGCCTCCCGGTAGTTGGTCACAATCCAGTAGCTGTACACCTTGGCCGCACCTGACATGCATGACAACACACACATCACGCAACGTTACACAACACCACACAACACAACACACAAGTGCCATCAGTAAGTAGCACAGGGCGTGTGCGTTGTGTGTGTATGGGTCCCTGCCTCACCGTAGGGCGACCTAGGGTAGAATGGCGTGGTTTCCTTCTGCGGCACCTCCTGCACCTTGCCGTACATCTCACTCGTAGACGCCTGGTACCTGCTCAGCTCAACCACAACACATGTTGGCAGCAGTGTGTTGCGGGTGGGGATGGGTGTGGTTCGTGTTGTGTGTGTTTCCTTACAGGCGAGTGGTCTTCTCCAGCCTGCAGGTGCGGATGGCCTCTAGCAGGCGGAGTGTGCCCACACCCGACGCCTCGGCAGTGTACTCGGGCATCTCAAACGAAACCTTGACGTGGCTCTGATACACACACACAACAACACACACACACACACACATGACAGACAGATGACCCGAAAGCAGGTGCCCAGGTACTGCACCTGTGCCGCCAGGTTGTAGACTTCATCTGGCTTGACAGCAGCGAGGATGCTGCACAAGTTGCTGCTGTCCAGCATGTCGCCATAGTGAAGCTTCACATCTGCACCACACGCACACACACACACCCCACACACACCCTACAGATCTCCCACACGAGACACCATTTCCGCCTCCCTCTGCGTGTACCTGAGAATATGTGGTCGATTCGCTCCGTGTTGAATGTGCTGGACCGCCGAACGATGCCGTGCACAGCATATCCCTTCTCCAACAGCAGCTCAGCGAGGTACCTGAGCTCCGAACACACAAAATGACAGATCCTGCGCCTGCCCGTTACTGGTGGTGTGTGCATCATCACGTACGAGCCATCTTGGCCTGTGATGCCCGTGATGAGCGCCGTCTTCCGCATCCGCCCGGCGGTACAAGTGGCGCGTGGGCGGCTGCACAGGGAGACCAAGGGAAGCTGGCGCAGGGCACGAAGCGGCACAGAACGGCAACACAGGAAAGACACGACTATATTGTTGACGGTGGAAGGAGAAAAGTTTTTGACACAGTTCTGTTCGCCCGTTTCTTCCCTAACTCCAGTTTACAATCAGTCCATCGCTTCTCTTCCCTCCCCTCCCCTTCCCCTTCATAAATATTTCCAGCAGGCGCCGCTACACCATAGTCGACGAAACTGGCCAGCAAGCGGCTCTGGTGGCAACGGGATAAGTTCTCTTGGCCGGGGCCTTCAGGGGCTGCTCATTGTGGCGTTGGCGGCACCATCTCGCTCGCCGGGCGCTGCTCAGCAAAGGCCGCCGTGCAGAAAAGATCTGGGTCAAGGTACGTGAGGCATGCCTGGCTGGATGGTTCTGAGTCATCGCGTAACGCAGACATTCAGGGGCTTTGACGTCATGCTGGCCGGCGGGCTGCCATGCATGACATTGGTGTCAGAGGCCGGCAAGAGCGGCTTCGGCAGTGTCTACAAGGTGCTGCAGGGCGGCGCAAGTGGCCAGTTCAGAGCCGTCAAGCAGATACATACCAGGGGACGTGCATGAAGCTGTTCCCTCTCCCCTGTCTATTGCGTTTGTGTGTGCAGCAAGGACTGTTGCACAGATTGCTGGGTGAATGGCAGACAGCTGTCACGTTGTACGTATGTGCCTGCCTTAATTCGACTTCTTTCTTGTTTTGTCGGGTCGTGCAGGGGAGAGAGACGTCAGCAGCCACCCCTGCAGGTGTGTATGTAACTACTTGTCGTGTGGTGTAGCCCCCACGTGTGCACAGCATCTTTACTGGTTGACACACAAGACAGATAGCTATGTACGCTGGTTGGTGAAGTGTGTCGGGCTTCCGTCCGTGTGTGTTGCCTTGTCTTGCCTGCATTGCATTCGCTTTTCTTTTGGGCTGATTGACTGATTGGATTGCAACAAACAAACAAGTGATAATGAATGACACACCCAACCAACGACAATCAGTCAGTCAGAGAGATAACGAGTCTGCCTGCCACACGTACGTATACGCTTCGTGTGACCATCCTAAAAGCACTGACAAGGCCCTGGGGAACAATTACCAAATGTACCTGTCTGTATCCACGCCCAGCCTTCGCGTCCTTCTTCCAACCACGGCCGGCCACTGAGGACACACATACGTACCACAGACAACACGCAGTCGGCACATCCAGCCATGCACTGGTCTGGTCGTCCAGAGAGCTCACCTGGGGCTCTTGTCGACGCGAAGAGGCCTCAGTCATTTCGCCGCAGCTGCACCCCTCATTCCATTCACACCACAGCGCTCCTTTCCATTCGCTCAGACGCAACCGACGTCGCAGAGCTGACTGACGCCCTCTCAGCCTTCATCTGTGCCGTCATCCTGCCCGTTGCGAAGTCCTCGAATGAAACCACCCTCAACCCAACAGCTTCCGCAAACTGCATATATGCAGCAAACACAGTAGAAGACGGGCAAATGGCCTCAGGCAGGCCTCTCCCCTCACCTGTGCGTCATCTCTGGGCGATCCCCAGCGATGCTCAGGGCCGCTGACATAGAAGGAAGAGGCCACATCCACCTCCTGCGCCATGTGCGACAGCATCAAATCCCACATTGCCCGCGAAGGCATCACAAACGGATCCCCAACGTCTCTCCGCGCCACGGCAATATACACGTACACCGGCACAGGAGCCACAAAGGCCAGGAAACGGTGAAAGTCATCCACCAGCTGGGGCAGGTGCTGGGTCAAGGAAGCAGTGACGTCCTGCGGATGGTCCAGCGCCGAGGTGCCCACCCAGCACTGGTTGGCAAACACCACAACCTTGAAGCCCTGGTCTGAGAGGGTCTGCAACCGGGCGGGCAGAAAGGGCCGTGCCAGCGACCATGTGGAAGATGATTTGCCGCTGATGCGATAGTCGAGGGCGGCAAAGTTGAGGGCCGCGACCTTCGTGCACTTGTCTTGCCGGTAAGGGGGACGCCTGCAGGCAGGCAGGCAGGCAGGCAGGCAGCACACGCGCACACAAAACAGAACAGAGCATCGTTCTCCTCGCAGTGACTGGCCATCATTCGTATGCTGACCAGAAGATGCATGTGTGGTGTTGTGCCCATCCTCGAGGCATGCCGACTGTCTTGAGAGCATCCACAAACGCCGTGTGCCGCTTCAGGCGCTTCACTTCGGACACTCGGATGCCTCCAGCAGACGCCATGATTCACCAACATGAATGAGCCGAAGGCAGATCTGTTGCCTTGTGTCGCCCCTTCGCCGCAGCAGCCGTTTCCGGGCGCCTTCGCCGCAGCAGCGGTTTCCGGCCTCCATGCGAGCTTGAAGTTGGCGATCTCAAGTTTCCGGTTCACACTCTCTCTTTCTGGACTAGCCCTGGCGACGCTTCTCAACAATACAAGTTCAAGATCCATCTTCAGCGATGCTGATGAAGTCCCTATCTACAGCGAATGTGATCCTCTCCGCCAGCAGCACTGCGGCCCTCTGTGTCGTCATCGCACTGCTCCTGCGGCAGCAGCTGCAATCGCCTCTGAAGAGGAAGTGTGTCGAGGAAAGCCACGGCTTCTATCACAGTGTGGACGATGCTGAGTGGGGGAAAAGGAAGGGAAGGCTGGCGCGACAACGGGCACTGCAGGAGACCCTCACGAATGACCGAGTGGATGCCTACATCTCGGCACTTAACGACATCTACACAAACATCTTGCCCAAGAACCTGACCGTCGATGGCAGGACCTGGTCACAATTTCATTTTGAGCCAGATTGAGCTGCGAGTGAGTGAGAGGGGGCTGAGGGGCCGGCGAAACGGTCAATGAAGATGGGTGGCATCGTTGTGTGTGTGAATATATCTGTGCAGATTGCAAGAGCGTCTTGGCACACCTGGCGACGGCGGCAAGTGGATCTGTGACCCTCAGCGGCTCCTCGACCTCCACAGCAGTCATCCGCCGCCCACGCGGCACCCGAGGTCACCCAACGGTCATTCCTGCCAGCCGGACAGCGGCCATGCCTCGTCTACAGGTATCCACACGCGCACACCACCCTCCCTCTCGCTCGCCGGAGAGTCATGGATTTATTGGCCTCATGTGTGTCAATCGATCAGTTTCGGCTCTGGCGACGAGTGGGGCTTCGAGGAGGGCATCATCGACACATTTGGCGACCTGTGCGACGTCCACACATTCGACCACACCATCGGAGCCGCCCCACCACACAGACCGGCCAGCGTGCACTTCCATCAGTGGGGTCTGGGGGAGCCGGGCGAGGGCCAACATCTGACGGCGGACACTCGAGGGCCGCTGGTGGCCAGCCTGACCGCCATTCGCAAGGCCCTGCAGCACGACAACCGAGTCATCGACATGTAAGCTGAGCACGATTGTTGGTGGATGCGGTATCGTCCTTTCGTTTGCTGCAGAGTTAAGTTCGACATAGAGCAGGCCGAGGTGCCCTGCTTGACGCCCCTGCTGCAGAACGCAGTGGCAGGGCGGGGCGAGCAGTGGCCAGGCCACCCCAATCAGCTCATTCGGCAAGTGCTGCTGGAAACCCATCTCCTCCGCAACACCAGCAGCCACACGGTGGACGAGATGCGCGAGGAGCAGGAGGCCGTGGGTGCGATGCTGCAGGGGTTTCTCGACAACGGGTACGTGATCTTCAGCAAGGAGGCGAACATGTTGTTTCTGTGTTGCGGCACATCAGTCGAGTACGGGTTTCTGAAGCTGGGTTTGCCCACTGCGTGACGTATGTGTACGGTCGCTGTACTTACTGGTGTGTGCGTCCTTGATAGATAGATAGCCCAATACACACATACATACACTACATACACATCTACCTCGATAGAAGCTGCACACGACCACTGCTGCTGCTGCTGCTGCTGACCTGACTGATCTATCTGGGGTCATGTGTGCAGTGCACTGCACGCACCTGCTGCTTGCTGTGTGTTGAATGCAGTTCTTTCTTTATTAAGCCCTGCGTGCGTGTCGTCCGGTGTGCGTGTGTTGTGTGGTGTCATCGAGTTTTTCTCGGTGGATGGATGGGTGCGCCCTGGGCCCCCAGTGTCATGTTGTGCAGTGTGACGATACAGTGTGACGACTATGACTGACTGTGTGTCTGTTGGTGTGCATGAGATCAAAGCTGAGCGATTATCTTAACTGGCGTCGTGTGTAGCACGGTCCTCACACACACACACAGGTGTCCGCACACACAGGTTGGGCGGCGCACACATCAAAATCCCTCTCAGCCAGCCAGTAGCCATCGAATGACATGGCCACACACGCTCACAGATGCACACACAGCCAGGTTGGAAGAAATGTTCCGTATCCACAAAGCGAGGCCCCCACATTTCGTTCACTCCGTAGTCTGTCGGTCCGTCCGGTTAACTGCACTGCGGTCACCCATCAGCAGTGGTGATGCAACAACATGTCAACCAGTCGCCCAGCCACCCACACAGTCGAAAACACTTTCATAGTATCTGCAAAACTGCTGGCTCTTGTCAGCCCACGTGTGCATGTCGCCGGTGGTGCAGGGACCAGGTCACCTCGGCGTCCAGCCGCTGTCGAGTCACAGCAATCGGACGACGGCAAACCTGGCGGACGAACCACCAGCAACACACGCAACTGCGGACGGTAAGTAGAGTGGAGGTGTTGGTAGATGGACACACCCATCCAGCCAGCCAGCCAGTCATTCATGGGCACATGCATCCATCGGTCGAAAAGAACCCACGTGTGGTACTTAGTACCTCATGGGTCGTGGTGTGTTGTGTTGTGTTGTGTCCGCGTAATGAATGGACGTCACTCATTCATTCACACACGGATGGCAGAAATAGATAGTAGTGACACCCACTCAGCCACGCATGCAGCGAAAAAGAACACGCCTCTTCTGTATGTGTTTGTGTGTTCGCAGCACTAGCTTCTATGACCAATCCATCCATCCATCAGTGAGTGTGTCGGTCCTCTCTCGGACAAAAACGCGAACAAGAGGGCCGCACATGGGATATGTATTTTGGTGTGTCATCAGCCAGCAGAGAGATGTAACAAGGCAGACAGGCAGACAAGCAGGCAGGCAGTGTGGGTGGCGGTGTGTGGGCGAGAGAGGCCCATGACACCGCTTATTCAGATGCAGACAGATAGTAGGTAGACACGGAGAAGCGCACACACAGCACACAGCACACCCATTCAAACATGAAAATCGGACCACAAGTCATCGCCGCGTGGCGGCCAGCCCATGAATGAAACACTCACCCCCCATCCACTCAGTCCCCATCCCTCACAGACCCCTTCAATCTATACTTGGGGCACACTCTCTCTCTCCCCCTCATACTCGGCCACCCACCACACACACACTCAGGCAAATCGAGCCGCCCCCGTGCGTGTTGTGTTGGGTCTATCTATTCTATTCGTCGTCGTTGCGGTTGAGGTTGGCGCTGTTGAACATCTGCTGCGCCGCCCCCGCCACGAGCCCCGCCGCGATGATGCCTGTGGCCACCATGGCCGCCGCGGCCGCCGTGGCCTTGCTGGCCTGGCCGGCCTTCTCGGCGATCTTGGCGAGCTGCTTGCCGCCGTTGGCGTTGCCCCTGAGGATGGCCGTGTAGGGCCCCACAGAGTCGCCCGCCTCGACCAGCGCCTTGTGTGTGTCGTCGCAGATGGGGAAACGCTTCGACTGCCAGCAGCGGCAGATGCGGATCTTCTTGTCGGGGCCGCCGGGTGGTGGGTAGGTCTCGATGACGTGGTGGTAGTCGTTGTAGTCGAGCACATTGGGGTCGACCTTCTCGAAGTTCTGGAGGGGGTCCATGGGGTAGTAGTTGTCGGGCAGCTTGGTCGGGGCCTTCTTCTCCATCTGGTTCTGGAAGTAGGTGGTGACGCCGCCCAGGTCCTTGCGCACCTCGAGGAGGCACGGCCCGATCTTGGCGCCCTGCATACAGAGGGCGCCGTGTGACTGGTCGCAGAGGGGGAACTTGTCGCTCTTGTAGCAGCGGCAGACGAGGAACTTGCGGGAGTTGAGCATGTGCTGGTCGGGCGTCCACACCTCGTAGTGCTCGATGTCGTACTTCTTGTCGTGCGGGCGCATGTTCCAGTTGTCGCCCTCGTGCCGGGGCAGGTCGTGGTAGTGACTCGTCAACATTCCTCCCTGACAGACAGAGTCAGACAGACAGACAGGCAGACAGGGAATACACAGCACACACAAAGGAAGCGTCAGGTGTGTGTCAACACACAAGCGGCCCTGACTCTGCCGTGGGCGGTGCGTGCGCAAGTGCGTGTGGTGCTCACCATCTTTGACACACCAACACTACAGAAAGAGGGGCTTCCTGCCGACTCTGTTATGCGCTACAAAAATCACACGAATCGACCGACGACTGAACCAGGCAGCCGCCCCTCGCCCAAACAGCGGAAATCAGCCAATCCGGTGCGAGCTTCCAGTCTCCGGTGCGAGCTTAGCGGCAGAGGTTTCTTCGTCTCTTGTTCGGGACCTTCGGGGCGCTCAGGTGAGGGATCAACACAGAAGCAGCAGGAGAAAACGAAACATCGTTGGGAAAGTTGCGCCCTGGTGTTTTCTCTCGGTGGCTGTGTGTGCAGGTTCGCATAGAGAAACCGGCGTTGATTTTTGGAAGCTGCTGAGGATGTTTCGAGGGAGCGTGTTCCGGTCGTCCCTTCTGCGCCCCCTGGGCACGTCACTTGCCCTGCAGTCACAGCACCAGCTGACGCCGCAGGCCGCCCGGTCGTTTGTGAGCGTGTCCCGCCCCTCATTCAGCCTGCTCACCACCACGGCGCGCAGTGCAGTGACGCAGGAGGCCAAGACCACCCTGGCCCGGCACACGCAGAAGCGCACATCAGCGGCCATGGCGGAGGCGGCGGAGGGCGGCCACCACCTGGATTTGGGGAGCTACAACAACGCGATCAAGTGGATCCACTGGACCATGGCGGCCGGTATCGGCATCTGCTTCGTGTCGGTGCAGGCGGCGTACCTGTCTGAGGGCAGCACCAAGGAGGTGATCATGAACATCCACAACAGCGTCGGCATCCTCATGGGCGGCACCGTCCTCGCCCGCCTGCTCGTCCGCGGATTCACCACCGCCCCCCCACACGTCCCAGGCAACATGCTCGAGACCTACGGGGCCATCGCCGGCCACTGGGCGCTGTACGCCTTCATGCTGTTCATGCCTTTGACGGGCATCGGCATGTACTACCTGGGCGGTGCGGACGTGCCCTTCTTCAACCTCAAGTTCCCCGGCCTGGCCAACCCGGACAAGGAGCGCATGACGTGGGCCAAGGAGTGCTTCAAGAAGCACAAGCTGGTGGGGGAGGCGTTCCAGTACCTGGTGGGCATCCACATGGGGGCGGCGGGGTACCACCTGCTCAAGGGACACAACGTCATGAGACGCGTCAACCCACTCGTCGCCGCCGTCTAGACACACAGACAGACACATCACATCACATGCACAGATAGGTGGGTGGGGGTGTGTGTGGGGCGATGACTGAGTGAGTGTCTCTCGATGATTCAGCACGGTCGGTTTTGAATGGGTGAATGGCTGGCTGGCTACGTGACGCGGCTGGCTGGCTGGTAGAGAGGGAAGTGCAGTTTTCTTTCGCCTGGTGCTGGTTGGTTGGTTGGCTGATCGGTCGATCGGTCAGCTGTATGTAGGCTTGCTTTCTTCTGCGTACATACCATGTTTGATGGGATGGGATGGGTGGAATGTTTGAATATGACTGCCTGCCTGCCTGCCTGACCTCTCTCTGTACATATCACATCGTCCGGTCCCTATCCACCCACACCACTATCATGAGTGAGTGAGGCACACAACGTACAGACAGACAGACAGACAGACAGACACGTCTTTCTTGCGGCTGGTATTTGCCGATGATCGACAACACAGATAAACAGATAAAGAGATAGATGAGGCCGCGTAAAAGCCCAAGAGACAGACAGATAGAGAATTGCGTTTCTTGCAACTACGGACAGACAGACAGACAGACACAGACAGACAGACACTTGCCTTGCGTCGCAAATATAGCAGCATTCCATTCATTCAAGTCGTTTTCCTGCGTGGGTGCGTGTTGTGTTGTGTTGTGCCTGCATGGCGTCTGTCCGTCCGTCTGAGTAAGTGTGTGGCCTGTTGCGGACGTGCAGAAGCGAAGCGAGAGAGGCGCGATCTGTCCATCTGCCTTTGCTGCGCCGCCACACACATGACTAACCACACCCACACACACAAATGAATGCACCCTTCACACAGTTTTGGCTGGCTGCCGGGCCTGCGTGTGTGTTTGATTGCCTGCCTGCCTGCAGCATGTGTGTGTGTGTTGGTCGGTCTGGCTGCCTTACTCGTACGTATTTGTCTCCCTCCTCATCCCATTGCGAAGCATTGTGGAATGGCTGCCGGTGCGCAATGCAATGTGTGCGTGTGTGTGTGTGTGTGGAATGTTTGCCGTGCCGTGCCGTGAGGTGGGTCAGGTCAGTCATTAGTTCCGGTAGAGATACATACATACATGATATCCACGTGAGAGCGTGTGTGCATCCATCCAGCCATCATCTATCCACCCAGCCAGCCATCAGTGAGTGATACATGAGTGCCGGACGGACCGAGTGGACCTCTTCGTGCATGTCTGTCTGTATCACTGTCTGCCTGCCTGCCTGCGTACCTACGAATCGAATGAAGGTTTGTTTCCTTCCACATACAAATGTGTCGGTAGGCAAAAGTCACCCGTGCACACACATACGTATACACAAACATACACCAGTCAGTGCACTCATCAATCGCGATTCACGAGTTACTCACTCGATCAGCTGACTGACAAATACCCGCTGAAACAAAATCCATCCACTTGCACCACACAACGCGCAACCAATGCCCACGGTCAGAAAAAGAACAAAAGCGACGGATGTGATGAAACACAACATAAAACACCACACGACGTCACGACTGTGATTGCCAAACACACACACATTATATTGTCAGTCAGCCAGCCCACATGCATAGAAAAAGTGCCCTCCCAGCCAACACACCACGGCTGTCTCATAGCTGGCCACTGTCAGTCAGCATCTCCATGTGGCCGAGACGCTGGTGCTGCCGGGCGTAAACACCTTGCTGACGGCGCCCTGCATCAGGACACACTCCTGGGGCGAGGAATACCGATACGTCACCCCACTGCAGGCGGCCCAGCTCATGTTCTCAGCCGCGCATAAAGAGGCACATTCTTCTCGTGACGCCACGCCCTTGACGGTCTGCAGGGGCGAGCCCCGCAACTCGTAGCCCGCTGTAGTGCACACACAGTGGGAAGGGAGAGTGAGACATGGTTGTCGGTGAGTTGTGTGTTGCCTACCTTTGCCCGTTCTGCATGTTTTGAAGCCGGCTGTGAGTCCCTTGTTGGGCTTGTACCTCCGCACACAGCCACCTATCTCGAAGGTAGCATCCGTCTCCGAGCGGCCGCCGCGGTGCGTGGGCCCGGCCTTGAGCAGACACCGGCGGTCCATATCCACCCCGCCATCCGCTCTCTGCTGCGGCTGTTTCCGCCCGTATAGATAGCCAGACGCTATCTTCACGGCCCTCTCCTCCATCATCAGTGCGGTGGCTCTCTCTTCCAAGTCACTGGCCGCATTCTGCTGCCGGTCGGATGCTGCTAGCGTCGTCTCGCCGCCTACTGTATGGTTGGACTGCCATTGGCGCATCTCCTCCCGCCACTGCTTGACCTCCTCACGCCACTGCCGAACCTCCTCTACCAGCAGAGTGGAGTCGTTGGCAGCTCCCAGCCGTCTGGTGTGTGGGAGGGCGCCCTGCGTGTGGAGGGTCTCTGACGGCAGCTCCTGAAAGGTGAATGCCTCGCACTGCGGCTCGTCCATGCACTCGACCCAGCAGTCAGCGAGGCTGGATGGCGGGGGGGACACCTCACGGATGAGGGGGGTCTCATAGTCATAGTCTGGCTCATAGATGACGCACTCTGACACACACATCGACACACAATTGGGTGGTGCGATGTGTGGGGGGTTCCTGACATATATATACCTGGTCTGTGTGGGCTGCACAGGTTGATACCTGCGGTCGCCGTGCCGTCCGGATTGGCCCCCTGCAGGTCATCCACTTGTGTGAGCAGCTCACACCCGTCTGCTGGGGAAAAGTTGAACGCCCCGCACTGTGAGTCCTCATGACACGCACGCCAGCAGTCGTCTGACGTCGCTGCTTCGTCGACGGTGAGCAGAACGTCGCCCTCGAGGACGGTGTCGGGCTTGTGCAGCACACAGACTGAAGGAAGGGGAAAGAACGTCGACGTGGGGGCATGTCATGTCGAGCCACAGGCGTACCGTACCTGAGCATGTGTCGTCTGTATGTGGTGACTTTGTGCGTGTGTAGATGCGTATGTGGTTGATGTCCCAATAGATCTCCTGCAGCTGGTGGGGATTCTTCCTCACAAACTCCTTGCAGTCAGGACCTGAATACACACGCACACACACCGACATAGCGTCTCACTCTCTCCCCCATAATGATTGGCGTGGCCTGTCGTGGCGTGCCTGCCGTCTTGAGGCACTGCTCAGTCCATAAGGGCTCGTACTCCGCCCAGTAGCCGCACAGTGCCGTGTTGAGTATGACGCTCTGCAGACGGAAGTGGTCGAATCCCGGGCAGTTGTCCTTGAGAGGGTAGTAAGCCGTCGGCCGCTTCCAGCTGTCAGGATTGGGCACCCTGCATACGCACGCAGACACACCGCCAGTCGACTGTGTGCCTCCCGGGTTCACTTGACCCACCCTTCAGTGAGGTCTGCAGGTGCCTCGTCCCTGCGAAAGAACCAGTGCCTGATGTGCCTCTCTGGGTCGAGCTCCATGACATAGTGGCCGCCGCCAGCACCATTGAATGCCGGGCCGAAGTTCTCTTCATCCGACATGACGGGGCAGCCCTGGTTGTCGGGCTGGTGCGGATGGCGGTCGTCGCAGCTGCGGGATGGCTGCTCTGAGGAAAAGGGGGCGGGGCAGAGCACAAAGATTCGTGACGGCTTTGAGGATGAATGTGAGGATTGTCGCTAACTGGCGCCGTCGACGTATCGCTCTGAGGCCGCCCAGATGCCCGTCATGAGTGTTTGGTCGGTGTCGGACATGGAGCAGCTCTCCAAGGCGTGCCCGCCGCAATGGTTCATTGTCAGATTGTTGACGCCTGTGTGCACACGCAACAGACAGACAGATGGGTGTGTGGCCAGGCCAGATGCAGGAAGGAAGCCAGAATCGCCACCTCTTTCCTTACCTTCAATGACGTCGATTTCGCCAGTGGCGGGCCCGTCAGGGCCATGCATCCAGAGGGCGGGAAAGGCACCACAGCCAGATGGGCTGTGGTTCACATCGATGACGAACAATCCCTGACGCGCAGAGAAGGACACAAGCGGGCGAAAGGACAAGGCGCACGGGAGCAGTCTCGTGGACCTGACTGACCTCGCTGAATTGTTGTTTGGATGCGATGCTGACGGAGTCGCGCCCCCTGGAGCTCTTAAAGGGGATGGTCTTGACGTCAGGGCGGATGATGGTGCGGCCGTCATCGGTCGTGTACATGAGCTCCTTGGACACCGCAACCGATCGGCTGGACAGAAAGGAAACACACACCCGAGCCACGCGGGCTGTGACACCGTGGTGCCGCTGCGTTCCTGTCAGGCATACTTGACGTAGTTGGTGAATCCGCCCGTGGGATCGTCGCCCGTGTAGAAGTCGAAGAGCTTTTCATCCAGAAACGATTCGCCCTGCCACTCGGTTTCCAGCTCGTAGGGGCCAGAGCAGCCAGGCAGCCGACCGGCCTTCAGGTAGCCTACACACACACACCACAAAGTCGAGACACAAACGGCTGTCGTTCTTTCTCAGCACCTACCAGAGATGCACGGCGGCGCCGGCTTGTCCTTGCAGAACACCCCCTCTGCACGGATGTTCCACCCGCAGCACGTGGCCGCACCGAAAGTCGCGTTCTTGCTGAATGTGCTGAGTGCACATCCCGCCCCGCCGCACTGTCCGCAGCCGGCAGGGCAGCAAACTCCTGACTCCCAGTTGTAGAGGCCGCCCAGGCGGCTGCAGAATTGGGCGGGAGGCTCCAAACCTGACGCACACGAACAGAGAGCAGAGTGACTGGGGGACATCACTTGATCATTCCACTTACAATAGCTGGGTCCCGACACGAGGTGGGTGTTAGCAGCATTGTGGCGCCCCGCTGCGCCGCGGTAGAGTGTGCAGGCCCGTGTGTGGGGGTCCCATGCGAAGACCCTGCAGCCTGGTGTCTGCCGACATCGCTCCTGACACCCAGGTGCATCGTCAGTCGTGCGAGGTTTGTCGTCAAGTGGCTTGGTGCTATAGTCCACCCCTGTCTCGTAGCACGCTGACCAGAGACAGACAGAGAGGCACACTGCACTCGTGTGTTTGTCGATGTAATAGGCGTGCATCATTAATATGATGCTATGCTTATTTGCCTACTTACTGTCGTAACACGACGCAGGCCCCGACACGATGGCCATGCCCTCCTTCCTCTTCGTTGCCCTCTTCCCGGCCTTGAGGGCGCAGTTGCTCTTCGCCTTCTGTGCCCTGTAGGTGAAGAAATGGCACCTCGGATTCTTGGCGCAGAGCTCCTGGCAGGCAATGGTGCTCGCCACACGGTCGTGAGTTGCGATTATGCGCCCCTTGAACTGAACTCCACCCTCGAAACAGCCTGATCGACATGGGCGAGACGCACGAGCAGAGGATGCACCTGTGCTGTGTGTGTGCCTGATATGAGTGCGCTGCTGACCCTTCACCTCCATATCTCGCTGCGCCTCGGACGGAGGTGTCATGGGCTGAATAGCTCCTCCTGCCTGTGCAAGTTTGCTGCCGCGACGGCTTGGGAAGCTCCTGGAGTCCAGCCGGCAGTCCCTGCCGCCGTCGCACGCTTCCCGCAGCAGCCCACTGCCCCCGGCGGCGTGGCCAAGAAGGATCCCCAGCAGCGAAACTGCCCTGATCATTTCTGTACTATTATTTCAGCTGTTCCTGCGAGCCAGACTTGCACACCTCTCGATTTTCACCTTTATGATGAAGCGTGAGGCGGAGCCGTCGTTCGAGGGCGGTTCCCTCAAGCGGCCATGCACGGCAGAGGAGGTGGAGAAGCTCATCGACACCATCGCCGAACACAAGGTGAGAAGATGATGTACTGCACACAACCGATTCCAGCAGGCAGGCAGGCAGGGAGAGATCCACGCATCCCTTTGTGCATCTGCCCGTCTATCCATCGGCTGCCTGATCTGATCTGTCTGAGTGTCTGTGCAGCGTCGCGAGTACGTGTACATCGCCCGAGCTGTCGAGCATGAGCGGGAGATCCACAAGGAGCGGACGCAGCTGCAGCACTGGCGCGACACCCACGAGACCCAGGATGGCCACCTCAAGAGCGTCCTCATCGACCCCTTCGTCAACATGGAGATCAAGCTGCAGAGGGAGAGGCTCCTCGACAAGGAGGAGCGCATCCGGGTGCTCGAGGAGGAGCTGCAGGCCAAACAGTTCGACCAGAAGGATCCGTAAGCATCTACGCAGCAGGGCGGGCATGCCATGGCTGGGAGGTTCGGAGTGTGTGTGCTCGTGCGTGTTTGTGTGGTTGATGTGCAGGGTGACGGGGAAGCGGCTGATCAACAAGCTGAGGACGTTGAAGGACGAGAACGCTGACCTGGGCAAGACGCAGGCCGAGGGGACGCTGCAGGTGCTCGAGATGAGACTGGGCATTCTGCAGAAACAAAACCAGCTACTCAGGAACAAATGCAAGTGAGGCAGTCAGTCAGTCAGCAGTCTATCGAATCGACCATCCATCGCTGCTGCCTTCGTCCATCTGTGTCTTTGTGTGTATGTGTGTGTGTGCGTCAGGGAGCAGATTCAGTTTATGCAGTGTCTGGACGAGGAGAACGAGACCATGCAGAACAGCCTCAACCAAAGAGCTGCGCAGCTCCAGGTAGCAAAGGCACACTCTGCCGCTGTCAACGCCTGCCTGAGCTAGTGTGTGTCTGTGTGTCAGGCTGAGCGCACCCGCAGCGCGGATCTGGAGCGTCGTTTGGCCGAGGCCGAGGCCACGATAGCCCAGCTTCGGGGGGGCGGGAGAGGTGGGGGTGGAGGCGGCGTGGGAGGGGACGGCGATGGAGGCTATGTGGCCGACAGAGATGCGATCATGACAGGAGAGGCATAGCTGGGTGTATGCACATGCACGGCTGCGGATGGCTTGCGTGGCGTCAAAGGCCTCGTGACGTTTTGACTGCGTGTGCTTGAAATCCGCCACGATGTGCTTCTTGGTGGTGGCCAGCACGTGACCACACGAAGAAGAACGTCGAGGTCTGCTTCAAGGAGATGCAGAGTGTTGTGCAGCAGTGGCTGCAGCGGCCGGACGTGTGTGCACTCAGCCGGACGACTTGCGGTCCATCTGACTGTCTGACTCAGCTCCATGCGTTTCCTAAAGTGTGCACCTCCGATTCATGAGTGAATGATTCATGGAAGAGGTTCGTGTGCAATTCTAGTGTTCGTGTGTCCACTGAGAGGCCGGCATCACTGGTGGTGGTTAAGGGTAGGATTATCCGTACAATTTTTGAGGGTGAGCTGTGAGCGTTGTCGTCCTTCGGCCAAGCCAAGCAGGGTGAGATGTCGGCATACATTCGCGAGAACCGCATAAGTTTCGTCGAGAGTCTCGTGACGGCGTCGGCCGAGAAACTTATGCGGTAAGTCCGCCGGGGCCAATTGGCCGGGGCATATGGCTCGTGGTGGCGTTGTGCACAACCTGTTGCGTTGGTCTGCCTGACACGATATTTGACGATTCGGGTATGTACGCTTGGTGCGGAGGGAGATGAGATGCGGGTCTCTTGTGGTGTGTACAGATGTATGCGTGTGTGCCCTCAGCGGGGTTGCGTGAGCTGACGGTTCGACTTTCGACCGCATCCCCTGCGGAGCAACGAGCCTTCATCCTCGACCTCTTCACCCGGGTGGCGGACATGTCGACTCAGCAGCAGCACCGAGCCAAGGCCGCCGTTCAGCTCGGCTCGATCATCGAGAATCACTTGTGCTCCGAGGTCGTGGATGAGGTGTTCGACGAGCAGGCCAGCACAGGGTCGCTGCACCACTTCCTCAGCTCAGTCCTGGCCCTCCTCCCACCCCCACCGCACGGCAGCGAGACCGACACGAGCTGGCCCCAGCACTTCAGCGCCACTTGCTTCGTGGCGTGTGCGGCGCTCAGGAGTGCCAACGCACAGAAGGGGCCCAGCGTGCGGGGCCTTCACGCCCACCTGCTGACCCACAGCCGCGATGCACTGGACCTCATCGAAGAGGCCACTTCGAGCAGGTAGGTCGGCCCTGCCAGACCACACACACAGCAGTCACAGCGTCACTTCTTTGGTTGACTGCAGTGAAGCGATGGTGCGTTCCGTCGCGGTTCAGGTCCTGCAAGCGTTTGTGCAGGACCTGGAGCCAGCTGCAGGTCTAGTGTCGCTGCGGCTGTCGGGCTTCTACCACTTGTCGCAGTGCATCTTCGGGGCGCTTGAGAACGGACTCAGCCTCCCCTTGCGGATGCACATGCTGATGGTGCACTGCGGCGCGGTGGAGCCCTACATCAAGTGTGTACTTGGCACAGGTGCGTGTCTCGTGCCCAATCACACTCTCACCCATGTGTCTGCCTGCCTGGGTCCATGTGCGTCTGACGGCCTATGTCATGGATGTATGCAGAGCCGACCAGCGAGGCCGTCCATGCGGTGCTGCGTGCACTCCAGAAGCACTGCTTCCCCCATGTGGCGACCCTCGTCAACACGGCGCTCTCCAGCACGGCCCCAGCTACCACTCAGTGGGCCGCGTGGATGATCCTAGGATGCATCAGCATATACGTCTACATGCTGCTGACGGCCGGATGCGCCTCTCCAGGTCGGTACCTAGTTCAGGACAAACTCATGGCAGGCATCATTGCACAATGTTGTGTGCGTACGTGCAGACGTGCAATCGAGTGTGCTCGAGGCCTGTGGGCCCTTTGTCGACGAGGTGACGCAACCGGCCTTCCTCGGCGCCGTGGTGAAGGCCCTCAACAGCCGCAGTAACCGCGTTTCCGGATTCAGCCAGAACCTACAGCTCACTTTGGTGACCAATATTCCCCTCCTGTCATTCTGTGCTGTCGGTAAGCTGCACGAACCACTCCCAAAGACCAGCTGCCCACCGATCTGTCTTTCTTTGTGTGTGCCTGCAGACAAGGCCGGTGTCATCGAGTCGGGTTTGTCTGCGGCATTGGCAGCTCTCATGACCGACGACGGCGTCATGCGAGATTCGCACGGCCCGTTGGCGGCTTTGCATCTGACGGCTGCCGCAGTAGGAGTCGTGGACCACTGGCCGAAGGTGGGCTAGCGCATGAGTGGCAGCTGAGGCGATAACCTGTCTGTATGTCGTTGGTTTGTCCTGTCAGGTTGCCGCTGCCGAGGGGTTCGCGACTGCCGTGTGCAGAATGCTGCTCGGGCTGCTGAGAGGCCGCCGCGATCCCGGTGATGACACGATCGAGGGTGACGTGGTCAACAACGTATGTAAGACTCTGAAGCGCCTTGTCAGGTGTGTCAAGTGACCCACCATCTATGTCGCCGATGTGTCTGTCCATCCATCTGTATCGTGCCTGCCTCTGTGCAGCTATGGCGACGATGTGATGGAGCGTAGAGGCGAGACGCAGAACCACATCGCACGACAGATTCTCCAGGTCAGTCAGTAAGACAAGTTTGCCATACTATCGTGGATGGCTTTCTTCTCCTTGTGATGTGTCCAGGAGGGCTCTGTCAAGACGATGCGCGACGAGAACACCGCAAAACGACTCAACGTGCCCAAGCAGGTCGCACACACAAACGCTGATACACATGCGACCGCTGCTCACTTTGGCTGCTTGTCATGCAGATCTTGGACTTGTTTGACCGCATCGAGAAGGCGGAGACCGACCGGTATGAGAAGGCCATAGAGGCCGAGTTCGACGACACTCCTTCGACCGCCCCCACCCCAGCCAACACCGCCGCCACCACCAAGAAGGGCAAGAAGGCCGGCAGCAAGAAGAAGAAGGGCAAGGGCAAGGGCAAGACCAGGCCAGGAGGGGCCAACACTTCGTCGGGTCTGTCGCCAGTCGCACCCGTCGACCACGATGGGTACGCAGGCAGCGAGGGGAGGGAGGGAGGCAGCCGCCCGGCACACGCACTGCATGACATGTGTCATGACGTGTGTGTCTTGTCCACTCAGCTGTGATGCGTCTGAGCGTGTAGAGACCGTGGCGGCAAAGGAGGAAACGTCCGAGGGCGAGCACCCGGCAAAATCGACACCCGACAAAAGCGACGGGTATAGAGGGGCGGCTACACACGATGGATACGGCACGAACCGAGATTCCCCCAGTGCCATTCCCTGACCTGTCTGTCTGTCTGTCTGCCCTTCCCTCGTTCAGGCAGCCGAGCGTGCCGTCAACTGTTGTGTGTGCTGAGGGCATCGACGACGATGACCAGTTCATCACTGTCACACACAGAAAGAAGGCCAACAAGACCAAGACACCCACGCAGCAGCAGCAGCAGCAGCTCTTCGCTCCTAGTGCGTCCTCTCCGTCGTCGGCCAGCCGTCCCTCTCCACCGCTGCTCAGTGTCCCCAAGGGCACCAACCGGTCTGCGGCACGGATATCCGTCAACCTACCACCATACAAACCCAATGCTGCTGCTTCTGGGTGAGAAGGGATGCACCCACGGCGGTGGTGGGATTGCAGGGTGTCACTGGTGCTCTCGTTTGTCAGGTCTATGTCTGGTTCGTATCGATGTGGTGCCGGCCATGAGGGGAGTTCGAGTGCGTCGGCGGCCGGTGCGTCGCTGTCTGACATAATGACGACGGCCACATCGACCAAACAGCACAGGTCAGAAGGGCAGCAGGACAACAGGAGCCGCGCACACTCATTTGCTCGCTGTGTGTCTGCCCTGATTGATATCAGTCGCGTGCCGTCTTTCGAGACTCTGCCGTCCCGCCGCTTCGGCGACCCGTTCCCTCCTTTGCTGCCTACCCACCACGCCCCAGAGGACAATGATGACACGATCTCCCTGCCGCCCCGGCCATCACACCCACCGCCTCGCCACACACACGGCAACCAGAGCCCCCATACCGCCCTTCCTGCTGCTGGTGGTGGTGCAGCCTCATTGGCCAGTCCACTTTACGGCAATGGGTCGCCGGCTGCGGGGCCATTCCCTGTCGCTGTTGATGGTGACGTCGGGTATGGTGACGTCGGGTCACCCCTCCCGCCCGCGATATTTCCAATGTTCGACTCGGACGAGAACGACACGGCAGCACCACCGCACCCACAGACACACCCAGCCGGCGACAGCGACATCAGCAGTGGGGGCGCCTATCAGGGCGACAGGTGAGGAGAGAGACACCTAGGACACATAGAGCATTGTCTGTGTTGTCATGTCATGCGATTGACTTCCGTCAGTGGGTCGAGTTCGTTCCGTGACCTTCAGCTGCGGCTCGAGTGGGAGATGGAGGCAATGCGGCAGCGACAGGAGCGCGAAATGGACGAAATGCGACAAAGGTAGGCCATGCTCACGCAACGACAAGGTGGATGAGACGTCATGTGTCTACTTGGTCTCTTGATTGGTGTGGTGTCAGGCTGGCGGCTCTGAGCGCCGGTCACCAGCAGCAGCAGCAGCCCTCGTCCAGCAGCACATCGGTCCCGCCCCCTCCCACACAGCACCCGCAGCACCAGCACCAGGGTGGCGAGTGCAGCGTGTGCGCGCCCGCGTCGGTGATGTACATGCCCTGCCGACACCTCCGGGTGTGCCCCAAGTGCTACGACGACAACAAGGCCAGGGTGGCGCGTGAACTGACCAAAGTGAGGGCCGAGAACGACCGGCGCAAACGGGAGAATGAGGAGCGCATAAGGCAGAATGAGGGCCGCGGCAAGAACAAGCAGCTGTCGATGGTGAAGCTGCTGGACGAGCCCCATTACGTGTGTGAGCACTGCAACGGCAGGGTGGAGTTCGGCGGATCGGTGGAGGAGGTCATGCAGTGGGTGGCCAACAACCCACTCACATGACCCAAAGACCGAAGTGGGTGGAGAAGTCAGTCTGTGTGTCGTTGGCGCGGTCGGTAGTGAGGGGAGAGATCTGACGAGAGGAAGGGAGGGATGACGGGCGAGTGTCTTCAAGTAGCTTTAGAGAGACGTGTGGGTCAAGATCCCATCGCCCACCACGTCTGTATATGTCTGTATTCGTGTGGCTCTCCATGTCGACGGGGGCTGGGAGGAGGGAGAGAGGGAGGTTTCCGAGTAGCTTTAGCGCGCAGTGGGCCAATCTATCGCTCAACGCGCTTCTCTATGGATTAATTAGCCGTATGTCTATCTGTATTTGTGTACCTGTCATGCGGCCGAGGGTCCGGTGGGTGCTTTAGCTGCATGTGCACGTTTAAGCCCGTGTCAGTGGCACGGTCTCTTATTGATGCCCGTGTGCTCGTGTGCGTGTTTGCGACGTGCCTGTGTGACCTGCCTTTATCGGACCGAGTGAGTGCTCGGCATGCGGGCACCCATACCCATGCGATGTGAATCGCCTGCCTTTGGATGGCTGGCTGGATGACAAATAGCATTCACTCACATGAATATGAACACTCAGATGTCTATGTACACGCACACGCACACGAAAGGGGTCCGTCCACGCACACAGTCGGAAGATGAGTCACGGCATGCAGGTGTGTCTGTCTGTCTGTCTGTCTGTCTGTCTGTCGGTCACTGCGGTGCCCCACCGGCCAGGCGACCGACAGAGAAAGCAGCTAGCTACCCGGGCAATCCATCGACAACAAGGTAACACCCACCCCCACACACCAGCCCACCAATCCACCGTCCATCAGCCCACCCACCAGCTACAGCGCATCTCTGGCATCCCCCCCCGATAAGCTCCGCTCATATCATTCGGCTCAGGTCCTCCTCTGCACTGAGGTTGCAGCGCTGCATGTGCATGAGCCGCTCCATGCCTGCAGGGTGGGGGTGGTGCGGCGTCGTCCTGACCTTGAGGCGCTCCACGCGCCCCCCTCCAGCACACAGACGGCGGTGGTGCACGTGGTGGTCGATGGTGGTGCTGGGGTTCTTGGTGGTGGTGGTGGGCAGGTGTCGGTGGGCCATACCAGCGACCAGCCTGCATCCACACACACAATGGGTGAGGCCGACAAACAAATGAGTGCATGTGTCGAGGTGTGCTGTGCTGTGCTGTGCTGTGTTGGTTTGTGTTGTTACCTCTTGGCAATATCCCCGATGTAGACGGTGGCGAACTTAATGTGGTGTGGGTACGACGGGTTGCCCGTGGCCACGGCGTACACCTCCACAAGCGGCGGCGGGCAGGGGATTCCCTCCAGATGAGCCAGGTGGTTGGCGAGCTTCGCCTGCACACACACATACGACACAGCACCACAGTCCATGCCACAGTGAATTGGCCATCAATGCCCGTGTGTTGTGTGTCGTACCACGTCGGCGATGGGCGTTTGGCGCGGGAGCTTGATGGCAAAGGACGGGCTGAGGTTGATCATGAGTGCGCACATGTCAAAGAGGGACTGGAGGGAGGGAACAAACCACACAGGCACAGAGACAGAGAGTCGGGATGTCATCTTTTCTCGGCTCGCCCTTCCCCTGCTGCAGCTGCACTGCCTTCTCACCATGTCGCCGCTGTTGCCCATCTTGGTGATGTCGTAGTTGCCGTGTGCCCTGTATCCCGGCCCCCAAGGTGGGTCGAAGTAAACCTGAATGATTCCACACACATGCACACACACACACACAGACATATCAGATGCTGAGCGGGCAGCATTTGTCCATCAAGTGCTGACCACATCGAACGCCGGCTTGCCGGGTTTTATCATCCCGCGGGCGATGATGTGGTCCTCCATCTTGTCAGTGCGGGCCAGGAAGCAGTCTTTGTAGATGTACACGTGGTCGTATCCTGCCCAAACACACACACACACACACACAAAGACACACACACACACACTGGTAAATGGTGTGGACGTCATTCAGGGCATGGACGGTGTTTGGTGCACACACCGTAGATGTGGTGGAGGTTGTGTATGGCGTTTTCGTAGTGCTCAGGGTTCTTCTCCGACCCCACCACCTCCAGGCCATTGGCGGCGAAGCCGATGGCATTGCCCGCTGCACACACACAGACACAGACAGACAGACAGACAGAGGTGCTTCCATGTGTGTGTGCATGGGCCTCTCTGTCTGTGTAATGTGCGGTGTGTACCTCCGCCAGTGCATGCGTCGTATATGTAGGCGTCGGGGATGACGGATGCGATCGACTGGGCCGTGATGTTGGCGATATTCTCCTCGCTCACACTATACCTGAGCGATGGGCAGGCACATCAAGGGAGGACCCAATCAATGGCCCGTGTCATCATGTAGGTGTGTGTGCTGTGTGTTGCTGTGGTGTGTCGGCCGTTCGCTTACTCCAACTCTTGTGTGCTCATGACAGCCCCCTTCTTGGCGAACATGGGGCCGCGATCCACCGTCACCACACGCAGGTATAGCTCCTGCTGCAACGCCCCACGAGCCGCCATGATGGCCCTGGGGGCTATGTACGGCCTCGGCGGCTGAGGGCCACACACACAACACATACACAACAGACAGAGAGAGAGTGAGGGGAGGGAGGGTCACGAGAGGCGCGGTTCGTCCTTTGGCACTTACTGGCGTTGGCGACCTGACCGCAGAGGCGTGGAACTCACTCGAGGTGTGCCGGTGGTCTCGGCGGGAAGCCTCACGCTTGGCCGATGCTCGCACAGGAGACAAACGGCTGAACACAAAGGTAGCACACCAACCACAGAAACCAATCTGATGTAAGTGAAATGATATGTATGGCCCCTTTCACCCATCCATCCATCCATCCACCTGTGTGTCGGTGCTTTCGCTTCCTCGGCCTTCTGGTCACCCTCTTCCGCCCCCCGTGCCCCCTCCCTCCCCTCCCCCGACACCCTCGTGGGGCCCCTATCAACGGTGGCCCCCTCTCCCTTAGTGCCGCGGACCCACTCGCCCTCATACTGGGCGGTCACACGGGCGGCCTCACCCCCTGCCGACCCGCAGCAGCTGCCCTCCCACTGCCCCTCATAGGGCGAGCCGTCCGACACGGCACTCCACCGCAGCGTCGGGAGGCTGCTGGGGCAGAATGGAACCGTGACGTGGCCGTGCAGGCTCTCGGTCACCGCCTCGTCGGAGTGGTTGAAACTCTCCTTGCCTCCTTTCTCCCTGTCGCTGCCTGCATGCAATGTGTGTGGCACATGAGCATGGTCGACGGTGGGTGTGTACGTTCCTTTGTCGGTTTTTGTGTGACGTACTCGGCTGGATCATGGTGCCGCTATCGTAGAGGTTGCTCGCCAACACAAACACGCCCTCGACCTCGACCTTGGTGCCGCGGACCCACTCGCCCTCATACTTGGATGTCGCACGGGCGGCCTCACCCCGTGCCGACCCGCAGCAGCTGCCCTCCCACTGCCCCTCATAGGGCGAGCCGTCAGACACGGCAGTCCACTTCAGCGTTGGGAGCTTGCCTGGCAGCAATGGCACTGTGGCGTGGCTCTCGGTTGAAGCCTTATCGGCGTGACTGAAACTCTCCTTGCCTGAGTGGCAAATGAGAATGGTGGCTGGTGGGTGGATGTCTACATTCCTTCGTCGGATTTTGTGCGACGTACTTGGCTGGATCATGATGCTATCGTAGAAGTTGCCCGCGAACACAGACACACCATCGGCCGTCCTGGTGCCTGGCATATCGACAAGTGCAGTAAGGCAGCACAGCAACCACGACACAATGACACATGAGGGCGGTGTGCTCGTGGTTGTCGGTCGCTTACGATTGTGGTGGATCACAGTGCAGTCAGCCAGCAGGTGGTCGGCTTCAATAAAGGCCGCGGGGGTGTACGCCTTGGGCACCAACGACACGACTAACTCGTCCATAATGGAGGTCGGGGCCTCCTGGACGCACTGCAGGCCACACACAGACAGACAGAATGGATGGAGTGGGCACGTGATGAGATACATGGGTCGGTGGGCGGGGCGGGCTGTTGGTGGGTGCGTTGGTGCGTCGGTGCCCGCAGACGTACCTCTGATGTGCAGTTGCTCTCGTAACGCCCGCACCATCCTACGAACCACCTCCACACACGCCTGCATGTCAGACAGCAGCACGACAGCATTCCATTGAGGATGGACAGACAGATGAGAATGGACCGCACCCGCCGCATTCTTCCCTCACTCACGTCAGACGATCCATCCTCCCTCTCCCTAGCTGGCCGATGAGATATCTACTAGGCCTGCAGCAAGCACGCCTGCGACTCGCCTGCGGCACACACGCAGAGCATCATATCATGGTCCAGAGGCAAATGCACTGATTTTTGCCATCGTTCTCGGTGTCCTCTTCGCCCCATTGTGTGTGCCCTCCCTTGCATGATAGCTATTGCATGCGTACCTTTCGGCCTCGGCGCTCTTTGCCCTCTCTCCCCTCTCCCTCTGCCCTGCTGTGGGGGGCAGTTCTGTGGTCGGCAGTTCTGTCGTCGACGAGAACGGCCTTGGAGAGCACACACTGTTGCTGTTTTTTGTGACTTTATTCGCCTTTAAGCGAATGTGACGGAGCCCTCGAGCTGCCTTGACGAAAGGACGTCTTTGACACCAGAGCTCCACTGCAAGATCAAAAGGCGATTAGGGTCAGCAGCGGTTTCATGGCATTTCCCAACAACGGCAGTTAGTTGCAGCAGTTTGTAACATCCCGCGGTCCAGTCGCTCTGCCTCTATGCTCCGTCATTGCAAGCAAGACAGTTCGGCACCTTTCCCTTTCAAATTCCCTGTCAGCAGCGGGCGCCTCCTCTTCAGCCTCCTCCTCCTATCCCTCCTGCTGCTGCTGCATTCCTCCCGCATCGACTCAAGCCAGAGGCACAAGGACGGCCACAATGACCACAGGAAACTCACCTCGCCAGCGATGGCACTGCAGCAGGCGGCAGAACGGGAGAATGATACCGCATCTGAGCTGGAATCCGACATTGCTGCATCGGACTCGCCGCCAGAGGAGTTGCGGCAGCCCAAGTTTGACTTTGCCTCGAGTGAGCTGAAGCTGAACCTCCTGAATCTGCTGGGGCCGCTCAAGACGGAGCTGGAGGCGAGGGAAGCCGACAACAATACCAAGTCCAAGTGCCAAGGTCCTCGAGGGGGGCTATGCGAGGCGGCACAGTGGCATTTGCAATGCGTTCGTGTTGTTATCGTGTTGTTTGCAGTGGTCGGTGGCGTGCGTGAGTCGTCCAAGTGGATGATGGATGAGTGTCCCCGCATGAAGGGCGGCGGCCTGCAGCTCGACGGAGACACACTCGTCTTTGTCCCTGTGCTCGTCTCAGACGGATGGTGAGAACATGACAGCCGCATTGGTTAAACAAACTTTGTCCGCCAGCGCGTATTCCTTCTGTCTGTCTGTCTGTCTGTCTGTCTGTCTATCCCTTCCTGCAGGGGCAATCTGCTGGGCCCGTATTGGCAGGCGAGGGCAATGGCACATCTTATGGGCGTCAACTTCAAGATGGTCTACGGCGCCTGGGACAGCGGCTGGAACGCTCTCGTGTCGGTCCTCTCCTGGCTCATGCAGCAACCGTCCTACTTCCACAACTGGCAGAGAGGCCCACTCACTGCCGACGACACATGGCTCAACGACCTGCCTAGGGAAGTACACTTCCACACATGTACCCGCAATGTCACTCAGTTCCTGGTGGCGTGCAAGGGCTGCAGCAACTGGAAGCACTCCCACGGCTGCCGTGGAGGCTGGCAGTGGATATGACCCATCATCCGGCAGGAGTCGCTGCAGACCTTTAGTGCATGGCGGGAGAAGCGGGGCCTCAGGTCGCCGACGGCCGGCTGGGGCGAGCAGGATGTGGCTGTCCACTTTCGGTGCTCCAAGGACACCCTGCTGGACAACCCCTACTACGGCCCCATAGCTTTTTCCTTCTACGACGCCATCCCGCCATCCACCGCCCCGCGGACAATTAACATTGTAGCCAACATCAAGCCTTCAGCAAATCTGACGGCCGTCATGAAGGACCGCATGCAGCACATGGCCCCCGATGCCAGCGATGCCGAGCAAACTGTTGCCGTCATCACCAAGGCGGAAGCGGCGTCGGCTGCTCAGCGCCCGATGGACAGGTTCGACAGAGAGCTCGACTCCGACTGCCACACCATCCTGAGAGAGCTGAAGGCGCATTTGGAGAACCGCCTCTCTGCCGAGGGCTCACAGGTGGAGATAGTGGGTGGCGAGGTGTGGGAGGACTTCATGCGGCTGGTCGAGGCGCCCATCCTGCTAATGGGCGTCAGCTCCTTCGCCATGATGGCTGCCGTCCTCAACAGGGGGGTCGTGCTCATGCCTGGGGGCACCGTGGACGGGCCGGAGGTTATGGCTGAGGCGTATGATGGATCGCGGATGACGTGGTATGTCTCCAAGGCGCCCGTCATGACGCCCAGCGTTGCCAAGGCGGCGAACCTGACACTGGATGACATGCCGGCGATTCTCAAGTGGCTAAGGGAACACTGAATACGTGCGTGCATGTGTCTGTCTGTATGCGATGCGTGTGGGGAGCAGTGAGAATGCAAACATACATTTCCTGCAGTTAATGCATTTCACGTGGACACGTGAGTGGGTGCCTGCGTCCTTGTAAATGGATCGGATCAAACAACTTTTCACGCACACACACATATGAGAGAACACTCGTCTGCTGTCCGCTGTGCTCATCCCACAAGAGCCTATCGTCTCTCTCGGGCACTCAGCCACATCTCTCCATTTCCTTGATCCGTCTCAACACATTCAGCGTCGACTGCCCTCTCACCATCAGGGCCTCAGCCCGCTCGCTCAGGCAATAGTCAGAGCCCTCGGGGACATCCCGCTGTGTCGATGCAGCAGGAGACGGGCGCTTCTTGGGAGTGGACTTGCCGCTAGATTGCTCTGGCACACACACGTACACACACATACACAAACGTAGAGAGACGTCCAGGCCTGTGCACAAATGTGGTCATGTCTCTTCTTTACTTTGGATCAGCTCGTGCGCAGCGCTGTCTCTGTCAAGATTTGGCGCCTCTGGGAGAGGCGGCGCGAGCAGCAGCACATCAGGCAGGTCGAATAAGACCACGGCCTGCTCCATGCTCAGGAGCCGCAAGTGCTTGAGCGATACCAGCCCTCCCCTGTCTCTCTCCTCGGCCCCCCTCTCCTCCCCCTCCCCCAGGAGTATCTCCAGCTGCCGCCGGCCGAGGATGCTCTCATCAAGCATCGTGACGATCCCTCGGGAAAGCAGCCTGAGACGGATGGTGGCCAGCGGGCTGTGCGATGATGCCCTGGTGCTCCCTGTGCCCTCATCCATTTCCCTTTTCCCCCTCCGAATGGTGCAGGAGGGGAACGGGGTCGACGGCTGTGTTCCAGCTTCCCGCGCTGGAATGAATGACCGGGACAGCTCTCGCTGGAAGGTGACGAAGTGGTTGAACAGGGTCTCGCCTTCGACGCAGTGAGCGATACGGCCGCCTCGCGAGCCTTTCACCGCTTCCTTCAAGTCCTCGATGTCAAATGAATACTTGCTTCTAAGGGCGATCACGTATGCAGGCATCTCTCTCTCCGGCGAAAGCAGCGGGGTCAGTCCTTTGAGCAGCTGCGATGCGAGGGCGACATTCCACTGGTAGGCTCCAGTCAGCACACCGATGAGGTCGGCGGCATCCCAGCCCCGGTTTCTGTGGGTGTCTCCCTCCTTCAGCCCCCGCAGGCATGCTGATCGGAACACCAGCTCCACTGTGTCGGAGATGAGCCAATCCTCCCCGGCTTGTGTGAGGTGGAGACAGCCGATGAGATGGCCTAGGTAGACGCCGTCGGTGCAGAGGCCAGTGAGGACAGGCAGCAGATATGTGGAGAAGAGAACGGTGCGCTTGGGGGGAAGGGCTGGTGGGGGCGGGTAGGCTCGACGTGGCGGTTTGTTCCTCTGGTGGAGGTCCAGCAGCACTGAAATCAAACAAGAAAGAAAGAAAGATGCGGCCAGCTGCGGATTTGCTGGTCTCTTCTTGCTTACGTGTGGTGAAGAGGGCCACTTCTGCCGGCTCGAAGTCGCACCATCTCAGCGCCTTGAGGAGCAGCGTTTTTCTCATCAGTGGTGGCGTTGAATGAAATATCTCGGCCAGCACGTCTGGCTGCGGCTTGACGATATCCAACAGCTGTTGGATCTGCCTGTCACCCCATCCCTCCGCATGCAGGACAAACGCCAGCCGCAGGGCCTTCTCAACATGAGCTTGGGGAGTGCTGTCGTCTCGCTCCCGCAACGTATCCACCAGCCACTGAGTTTCAAAGATCATGCCCACAGAGACAAGCGTGCACAGCGTGAGCAGCCTTCTGTGCCTGCCGCATACTTGGGTCACAGAAGGGTCATCAGGAGGCCAGCGGCCTGTTCGCTGCCACGTCTGCAGCGTCTTGACAGTCTCCGAGAGCACGGACGACCGCCTGAAGATGCTGCCCAGAATCGTGCTGGTCGCCTTCCCCTCCATCACTGGAATTATTATCCTGCACACAAGACAACTGCGCTCTGGGGGTGACTCTTTTTCCGGTGGGGCCACGCGCAGACTCACCAAATGACGAAAGGGCTCTACCACCTGCCCCTTTGGCCCTGCAACGCTCGAGAATGACACAGTTTTATGAGACGATCTTTCCCGGCTTAGCTCGCAGTCCAGCTCGCAGACCGAGGCGCTTCACAAGTTGTGTTCAACAGACGACGACCCTGAGTGTATCAGACGACGCCTGAGTGTATCGAGTGTTATATCAACCGAAGATCTTGATCTTTCAGCCTTCTTTATGCGGCGCTAGTGATGCGTCTTCCTGGCGCCTCGCGGTTCAAGTGGGGATGGGTGAAGCCCTACAAGCGGCGCACGGCCTCCCTCTGGCACTTCCCCGAGGTGAGTCCCCGCACCGGCCAGCCCATCGACTGGATGTACGATACGCCCAAGAGCGGCTACGAGGCCATCAAGGTATGGGGACCGCACACGCTGGAGCTCAAGGGTATGCCCATGGGCAAGACGCCGGAGTACATGCAGGAGCGCCTCCGCAGATTCTTCAGCAAGTACGGCCACATCCAGCACTGCAGGGCGCTGCCTCACCCTCTCGACCCCTACCAGTGTGAAGGGACGGCGTACGTCACCTTCCGCAATCGCTATGCGTCGCTCAAGGCCCTTCGTTCCCCTCTGCGTTTCCCCGACAGCCTGCACAATCACATAGTGCGGATGCGGCATCTCGACACCGACAAGGAGAACGACTGGCAATACATCTACAAGGTGCGGCACTACAACCACCAGATCCTCTCCATCACGAGGCAGCTCTACGCCAAACTCGCCCATGGCCCATGCCAGCTGAGCAAGGTCGCCGTCGGCCTCTACGAGCATGAGTACCAAGTGGGCAAGGAGTACAAGCTCGGCAAGCTGGGCGCCAAGCGGACGGCCGACCAGTCCATCATGCACCGCTTCAACAGCTGGGCCGCCTACCTGACCACCGCCCCCTTCTCGGATCTCTTTGACGTGACGGGCAGCGACGCCGAGCACCCCTCACGGAGATGGGTGCGGCGGAAGATCGTCAGCGAGAGCTATCTGGAGAGGGCTCTGGTCAAGGCCGACATTGTGCTGTTCCACATGCTGGAAAGGGAGTGCACTGTGCACTGGCGCAAGGGGAAGCCGCCACTGCCTGAGTAAGCAAGCCACACAGTAAGTAGGACAGGAGGACAGACAGGGATGCATGTGTCGACGGGCTGTGTTGTGTCCGCCGTTGCAACCAGGTACGTCAAGAAGAACATCCTGTTCTGGGACCACAAGCCCCCCTTCATCGAGGAGCTGCAGATCTACTCGAGGCCAATCACCTTCTTCAGGCAAGCGGGGCGGGGAAGCGCAAGGCACGGAAGCCGTGATACTGAGGGTTCACACACCTGCCTATATATCGGTGCTGTCTGTGCTCTATTAGGATATACGACGAGAGTCATCTGTTCAAGCTTCGGCTCAAGCGGGAGAGGAACAAGAACAAGAAGGAGAGGCGAGCCGCCGTCAAGTGAGACAGACCACACAACACATATATACGGATGTCGTCGACGCGTCACCGTCGGTATTTCTTTCTTCTGTCTGTCTGGGTTTGTGCAGGCAGCAGCGTCAGATCCAGATGCAGCAGCAGGGCGTTACGCCACACGACCCTCTCCCACTTCCCTTTCAGCAGCCAGCGACGAAGAGTCAGCCAGCAGTGGCTGCTACATGAACTAATGTGCGAGGGAGTGTCTGCCCACCTGTCTGTCTGTGTGTACAGAGAGTGCTTGAGCTGGCTAGTACGGGCAGCCATGCATGTGCATGTTTTGATGAGCACATGTCTGTCTATCTGCCGATGTGGCGGGTTTTCCCGTCTGTCAGACTTGACACGTACGTTGGTTGCATCTGAATGAATGTGTTGGCTGCAAGGCCACGTGTTGAGCTCAATCCGTTCGTCCACACGTGTTGCGCACGTACACCCACACGTAGCGATCGATGATGACACACATGCATGGCCCCGCCTCCTCGGCTGAAACGCAAGCTGCATTTGGCAAATCCAGCCGCGTCCTCAGACAACACACGGGCATCCAGCGTCGTATGCGTGGCCCCCACACACTCATTCGATTGCCTCATCTTCCGGCTCGTCAAACTTGGCTTCATCGGCGGCCTCTGCCTCCTGTGGGTGACACAAAGACACGAGCACACAAATAACAACACTTGCTTACAGCGTTGGTTGTTATGTACTCGTTTCTCAGTTTGTCACCTGTGCGGGCGGCGGTGCTTCTTCTTCCTCATCGAGTGTGACGGCCTCGCCCCTCTTGACTTTGTCAATCTTCTGCAGCAGTGAGTCGATCTTCTGCTTCAAACGCGCCACCTCCTTGCTCTCTATGTTCTTGGACGCCTGCAGATACATACGGGGAGAGGGAGATGCAGGTCCGTGCAGCTGACGTGTCCGTCGTTTCTGGGGGGTGGGGGGTGGCTCACGTCGTTGGTGATGAGTTTGACGCGTGACGCATACATGAGTGAGGTGACGGTCTCCTCCACGTTGTAGTCGGCGGGCGACACATTCACAAACATGAGAGTCTTGGCAGAACCACCTGCATGCACCAGGGGCCGACAGTCGCGCAGCACACGAGAGAGGCCGGCCCCACCAAAGCACATCCAGACGTGTGTCTCCATTCCACTAGCTCACCGAGGGAGTCGCTCATGAGTTGCGTCAGCTTGTGGTTTCGGTAGGGGATGAACGATTCGCCTGCATCAGAGACACCAGTGCGGGTGATTGTGATGGACATGGCCTTCGTGGTCGATGTTAGGTACCGGCCGAGAGCGCGGATATGACATCTCCGAGGGCTGACAGACTCTTGTTGATCTCACGGGCCTCAGCCAAACGCTCCTTGGTCGCATTCGTCTTGGACGCTGCGTGCATGCAGCCACATCGTACACACGCCCTGTCTGTGTCTCCCTGCTTCCTTCTTTCTGTGTCGTCACCTCTCTCTGAGCCTGCCAGATCGATGAATGACAGTTTGCCCGCCACTGTCTTGCCCGCCAGCGTGTCCTCGACGCGTGTGATGATCGAAAAGATCAAGTGGGACCGAGACGACGTGGCATTCATCGACGTGGAGCCTGCACACAGACACAGCAGGCCTCTCGGCAATACACGCAGGCACTTGTCTCCTCCTCCTGACGTCCGCACCGGTGTGTCTGGCGTCGAGACCCCAGGCAAAGAGTTCCGAGAGTTTCGCGGCATCGTCGACGTCGCGCATGGTGATGTTCTGGACCTTGACCATGCCGCTGGCGTCCTTCTTGATGTCCAGTGAGGGCGGCTTGGCCTTCTGGTCCTTCGGCAACAACAGGTCCAGCAACTGATTGACCGATCACCAACAGAGACAGAGACAGAGAGGGACAATCCAATGTGTTTTTGTTCTTCGTTAGGCATTTGACCTGGTTGTTGTAGAGCTCGCACATGTAGCACTGTACGCCGACGTTGTACTGCTCAGGATCGAACTTGGACAGGAGGTCGAAGAGCTCGCGGATGGCGCGCGGCGTGACACCCTCCAGGCCAGGTCCGCCACCCTGGATCGTGAACGTCTTGCCCGAACCTGTCTGGCCGTACGCGAATAGACACCTGCACACACACACACCAGAAGGGCGAGAGACACAAGCGATGCGGAGACGACACTGGCTTGCTTCGTGAATAGAATCATGTGCCGGTGGATAGTAAGTAGCTTACACGTTGAAGCCATCGATGGCCGACTGGATCAGCCGTCTGGTGTCTTCGAAGACCTCCTCCTGTTTGCAGTCGGGCGGGAACGCACGGTCATACATGAAGTCTCGTGGACCCTGCAAAGCCACAGCGTAATGCAAAATTCGTTTTTGTGGCGCCGGTTGGGTCAGTCCAGTTCTTGTTGGCGCGTGCCTTGTTAGTGTCGACTCTCAGTGTGAACTCGTCGGTGCAGTCGACAACCATCTTGGAGCCCTTCTCGATCTCGTACTTGGCCATTGGACGCACACGGCAATACACACGGATCTTGCCTGATAGAGAAGCAGCACACACCCACTGGTCCATTCAGGCTCCGTGTGCAGGTGGGTCATGATTGTCACCCTTCATGTCTTCGATCTCATTGTAGTACTTCTTGCGCAGGAACTTCTCCTCCTGTTCACACGAGAGTCGGCCGACGGATGAGGCTGTCATGTGCATGTAGTGTCTGTTTCCGTGTGCTGACCTTGTACGCCTTGTCAAGGAAGACGTTCTCCTCCCTGAGTGTCTTGGTCTCCTTCTTTAGCTCCGTGAGCTCCTCCTTGACCGCTTGGGCCTCACCCGCCGTCTCGCGCAGCTCCTGATGACATACATACACAGGCAATGCCAGACAGCACTGTTTCTGAATGGCTGAACGCCGTCTGCTCTCGTTCCCGACCGTGAGCTCCTTCTGTAGTTTCTCTTCGCTGTGTCTGGTCTCTTTGAGGGCCTTCTTTGTTTCCTCGAGCTCCGACTCTGCCTTGGCGGCCCGCTCATTGGCCTTGGCCAGTTGGTTCTCGACCTTCTTCAAACTGTCCTCCGCACTCTGATGACACATAGAGACAGCAAAGGACGACAGTGCCGTGCCTCTGGCTGGTTGCGCATGGGATTGTGTCTCAAAGTCACCTTATCGGACTTGCTGATTTTCGCCTCGAGGTCTTTGATTTGTTTCTTGTAGCCCTGCTCCGTCTCTTTGAGTTTGAGCTCCATCTGCTTGAGGGCCTGGGGATCCGCTCCCTTGCCCGCCTCGGCCGTCTTTGCCTCCTTGACCCTCGTCTCCAGCGTCTTGGTCTTCTTCTTCTCGTCAGCCAGGGACTTCTCCAGCTGCCGGATCTTGGCCCTATCGGCGGCACTGCCGGCAGCAGCTCCGCCTACCGCAGCTCCTTTCGCAAGATCCGACATCAAGGCAGCCACCTCATCCTTCAGCTGCGGGACACATATGGGAGCGACGGATCGGTGTACTGGGCGCTGTCTCTCTAGTGTGGATCACTTACGGATTTGTTTTCTCGCTGGAGTGCTCGGATGCGCTCATTGGCTTCGTCGGGGAACTCTGTGTCCTCACTGCGAGACAAAGACAGAGAGCCGGCTAACATGTGAGCACGTATGCTGTTTCACTCACTCACCGCGGTGACTCCCTGGGTGACTCCCCCTCTTCAGTGACCTCCTCTCCCTTCCGTGGCGTCACTAGTGTGGGCTCGCCCTCCTCTTCCTCTTCCTCAGCGCCCGCCTCACCCTCACCCTCGACCTCACCTTCCTCGCCCTCAGCCTTGGCCAATGCAGCACGAGCCTTCGCCCGTGCCACCTGAGCCGCAGCAGCTGCCTCCTCACCCTCACCTTCAACAGCCTCCTCACCCTCGGCAGCCTCCTCACCCTCCGCAGCCTCACCTTCCCCAGCCGCCTCAACGCCCTCGCCCTCGCCCTCCCCTTCCCGTTCCCCTTCCTCCTCAGGCCGCTCCTTGGGTGCCTCCCTCGGTCGCTCTGGTCGCTCTTTCGGCTTCTCAACTACTACAGGGACAATAACCTCCGCAGATGGCTCGACAATCTCAGATGCGGCAGCCAACTCCCCAGACGGCTGCCGCAGTTGAGACAGTCGTGTCTGCACCGCTCTCTCAGCAGAAGGGGCCCTCTCAGGTCGGGCACGGGCTGCAGTTGCTGCTGCTGCGGCAGCGGCAGCCGCAGCAGCGGCCGCGACGACACGAGGTGGCGCCTCAGCTGCTTTGGGCTGCTCTTCGTCCACCACTTTTGCCTCTTCGACGGCCTTGGCGGTCGTGGGTGGCGCGGGTGTCTGTGGGGATGTGCCGAGAGCCTCCACATCGGACGGCAAAATCTGCACCTCCTGCATCTGGACCACAAGGTCCATCTGCAATCCTCGAATCTGACTCTCCAGCGCCGAGAACGCCTTGTACTTGTCCTTGATGGCCTTCTTGTCATCCTTCTCTGGCGGACGGCCGTTGGCCTTCTCAAATGCATCGATCCATCGCCGTATGTCCTCCTGAACACCGTCACGGCGGACGAGCAGCTCGAACAGCGCTCCCTGTGTCTCGACGAGAGGCGCGAGTGAGGGCGGCAGAGCAGCTGCGGCCGCCTGGGCCTTGGGTGACAGCTCAGCGACAGTAACGGGCTTGGCAGGCTCAGGCACCGCCAGTGCAGGGGCAGTCGAGGGTCCAGGGAAGGACGGTGGCGGCCGGGTGAACTCCTCCTGTTGCCTGCGGATCTGCTCCTGGTGGTAGGCGGTAATCTCCTCAATGCGCTGCTCCACCTGCTTCTCTGCCTGCTTCTTCTCCACCTCACGGCAGACCTGCTCCAGCAGACGTTCGAGCCACAGCTCCACCTGCTCGTCGCCGAGGGACTTGAGACGCCGCTCAACCGATACGCCGAATGTCTTGAAGAAGTCCAGGGGCTTTGCTTCTCTCTCTTCCTCTTCTGCTTCCTCCTGTATGGTGGCCAGGTCCTCGATGGTGAGGTTGTGCGACTTGCGGATGGACTGGAAGCGGCGGCGAATCATCTCAACATTCCTCGCGTGCTCCGATACACGCTTCATCTCCGTGTCGTAGGAAGCTGCACAATCAGACAAAGGCGCCATGCTTTTGTTTGCCTGCCTCTTTTCACATGTGGGAGTGAGTCTCGTCTCACCTCTCATTGAGTCGAGCTCCTGTGTCTTCTCGTCTTCGATCTTCTGCATGTCGGTCTGGAACTGCATGGCGAGCGTTGCGTTTTCCTGCTGCAGCTCCGTCACTTGTCTGCGGAGGGCGGCGATTTGGTTCTGGAGGTTGGCTGCAAAACCCTCGTGCTCAGCCTTCTCGGCGGTGAGGACTCGGCGATAAGCCTTGATCTGCTCCTTGGCGCGCTTCTTGACCTCCCATAACTGTGGAGATGGGCGGAGACATAGCAAGGCACTTATATGTGTGTGGGCAGTGCCTTTTGTGGATAGCGCACCAGGTTTTCAAAGTGGACTTTTGTCTTGTGGTCGATGATCTTGAAGCTGGACTCAATCTCGGCAACGATCTCAATGTGCTGCCGAAACAGACAAAGGGCATTAGTCCAAAGGCATGTCTCACCATATCAGACACACGTGTCTCTGTCTGCAGTACCTGTTTCTTCATACGTTCCATGTCGTGCATGACGCGTTGCAGCTGCCCCTTGGCCACCTCAGCGGGCAGGTAGGCCTCCTCGTCCACCATAGCCTCACCCGCCTCAGCATCCTCAGGATTCTCATAGATCTGGCCTGGAGTGAAGTTGACCATCCTCACGCCGTCCCGCGTGCTCACCTCCTCTCCCCCCTCGCCGATGACCGCCAGCTCGCCATTACGGGTGGCTGTGCCCTCGTCCCCAATCTCGACTATCGGTGCCAGCTCGGAAGCGGCGGCTGAACTGCCACGCTGGCCACGATAAGGGCTCTCCCGCTCTCTACCGAAAGAGTCGGTCTCTTCGTGTCGCAAATCAGTGAGAGAGGCTCCGGCATGTAGGTCGGGACGCATGTAGGGAGGCGTCTCGTCGGTGAGGTTAAGCTCCAGCTCCGGCGGCCGCCTGGGCTCCTCCTTCCTCTCCTCCACCACACCCGGCAACACGACATCCCTCCCCTGTTGGCTGGCGGGGCTCCCCGACGCGTCGTATGCCGGACTGCCCTCCCCATGCTCCGACGCGTCGTAACTGTCCCTTCCTGCGGCCTCCCCCTGCTGCTGTTCATCTCCCCAACCTTCCCGTGCAGCGTCGGCCGATGGATGGACCCTGCTCATTCCGTTGGTTGTAGGCAAGATAGCAGTGAAGGGCAGCTTGAGAGTGGTGATGGGGCTCGGGTCGTTGCCCTCGCGATGAGCGACGATGGACCGACGCCTGGCTACGTTGGCAGCAAACGTTGAAGAGGACACGGATTGGGCCCTCTGTTGGCTCCTCTCGGCTGTGTCGAGGAGGTCGGGTCCGGTTCCTTCGTCTGTAATCGAGACGCTGTGGAAGCGGATGGATCCTGCTATCATATACTCGCCGACGCGCGGGAGAGCCTCAGGCGACTGCCGCCCCTACACCAAGGAGCATGCAGTCGACCTAGCCCTCAGAGAGCAGCAGCTAGGCAAGCCAAGCGCCGACCAACTGACTGAGAGCTCGGGGAAAAGGGAAAGAGAGGAGACTTGAATGTGGTGGGTTCTTGGCCCATTTCAAGCTCGCAGTCTTAAGCTCGCCTTCAACAGAAGGAAATCGCTGCCGCTACAGAAGGAAGCCACAGAAAGGAGACAGCCAAAGACGGCGGCAAGAGGAGAGCTGTTGGTTTTGAGGCGAATAAGAGCGGGATCTTGCCGGGATCTATGTCGGAGCAAGCTGCAGTCAAGAAGTCCAGCCGGCGCGGCACTTCTCTGGATGAGATGTGTGCAAGAGCCAACAGCGAGAGGAGAGGGACGTTGCTTGCTTGCGCGTGGTGGCTGCATCGCGAGCGGACCTGTAGTGAGGCTCAGATGGTGCGGCTTGCTCGGGATGGTTTCGGGCTGATGTGCACGAGAGAAGACGGCTCGACTACCAGCCACTTCCTCGCACTTCCCGAGAAACTGGAAGACACGGCTACTTATGCGGACCTGGAGCGGCAGCTGGACACCTTGTGGGCATCATGCAGCTGCTTCTCGTTCCCGAAGGGTGTGGCAGTGTTCTTTCTGCTCTTCACAACTGCAATGCTGCTGATAGCAGTTGTGGATTTCGTGTGGATTGGCGAGCGCAAGAGGGTTTCGTTCGGTCCAACCAAGACGATCCTGCGCACATTTGGCCCGCGCCCTGACCTCATCCTGTCTATTCTCTGCCTGAGCAACCTCCTGACCGCCTGTCTTGCCTACTTCTTCGCGGTGAAGCTGAGACTGTCGCTAGCGGCCCGTCTGTCGTGGTGCCTAGGAGGGCTCTTTCTTGGCTATCCAGTCATCACACGCTTGCTGATCCTGAAGCACCAAGTGAGAACGGGGGACCGACTTGACACGACCATGGGAAACCGGCGTGTGTGCTCTTCATTGTGTGACGCATTTGGACAGGTCGATCGCAACCCAGCTTACAAAACACCGAGTGTGACAACTCTTGCAATCCTGGTGAGATAGATGGCTGCTAAGCGAAATGCATCGAATCATGTTTCAGATGTGTGTGTTTTGTTCACTCTCAGGTTGCTTTGGCTGCGGCCGTTGTTGCCCTCGTGTTTGCCCTGCCGCCAGAGATGAAGGCTCAACTCATGATGCGCCTCGGTGCGATGTGGGACACGATTGTGGGCAATGCAGTGCAAAGGCACAACGACACGGCCACCGATCCCACGCACACATCGGAACTGTAGAGAGAGAGAGAGAGAGAGAGAGAGAGGGGAGGGGTGTGCATAGAATTAGCTGACTGGCTGCGATGCCTTCCTTTTTGAGGCAAGACTGGCTGATTGCTTGCTTGTCACGTGCTCCACACACTGACCTTGCGAGATAACGTGGCGATTGTGTGTGTGTTGATTCCATCTGTCGACCGGCGAGCTACGGGTCAGGACCAGTGAGAGTGTGCAAAGAGTCGCTGTGCACTCACTCGTCATTTTGACAGGGGCTTGGCCGGTCGAGAGATGAATCTGATGCACACACACACATCACAGTGGTCGCGAATGAATGCTGTTCTCCTTATGGCGGGCGATGCGTGCGGTGTATAGGCAAAGACGATGTCAATTCCGATTGGTATCTGTCAGTTGATTGTACAATGGTGCCCTTTAGGCTGAGGACAGTACACGTACTTTGACCCAGGTATGAAAAATGAAGTATGGACACACATTCACTGTCCCAATAAAGCTCCACTCGAGACACATCACCAAAATACACACGAAAAACCATGCTAAAGTCTTCTTAGGCTCGCGAGCGCCACCATGCAAGGCGCCAGTACCCACCACCATGTACAGGGCTCCCTCCACCAGTCAAACCAGAACAGGACCGCCACAATATGTCTTCTCGTCTTTGTTCTACATGAGCGTCCCCCGTCACTCTTGGCGATAGCCAGGAAACCAGGCGGCGGGTCACTCAGGTCAATTACCTCCTCTGCTTCGAAAAGGGTGGACCCCAGGGGTATGGAAGGGCGTTGGACAACTTCCTGTTCGACGGAAAACGACTGAGAGGGGTCGCCTGCTGACCACGACGCCTGCAGAAGGAGAGACACAGAGACATCGGCTCAGCTGACCTCTACTCGTATTGTTCTCTCACCTTAACGACAAGAGGACCTGAGATGGCCTGATTGTCGGCAGTAGGCTCGTTAGTCACGTAAACGGCGAGCCTCAGCAGAAAACTCTCGTCGGACCCCGTCCCATTAGCCAAATGGTAAGATATCTTTATATCGTCCAAACTCTCGCCTTGCACAGCCTCCGCTTCTCCCTCCCCCTCGTCTATGTCCTGCCCAATCATTGGGACAGCCGGGGTGTCAACCGTGGTATTTAGCTGCTCAGCTGGCTCCTCAAGGGAATCCGTGGTATTCAGCTGCTCAGCTGGCTCCTCAAGGGAATCGACTTCCTGAGGGGCCGCTGTGGACGCATCTAGTGTCGGGCTGTCTGGTACAGCAACGCCGCCTCCCCCACCCTCGCAGACGATGTTTGTCCTTCTGTCGTTGAGCAGGCTCTCAGGCTGGATCTCTGCCTGGCACGGCCTCGCTAGCTTGAAGGGACCACTCACATGGAAAGTCACAACGTCACCTGAGACAAGACTTCAGTGCGGAAGGCTCTCTGCGTGCACTGACTCCGATGGGATGCTGGGAGTACCATTGGTCTTTGGCCTCTTTTTCAGCCGAAGGGTGAGCCGAACCGCATGGGTGATCTCGGGGGCCATCGAACTGCCCACATACGGAAGCGGACACACACGTAATTACACCCACACTCCTACTTAGTGCATACCGTACCCGATGGTAAGGCTTTGGATGCTGTCGAACATGCTGCTGTCGCTCACTCGGAAGCCCTTGATGGCGTAGTTGGCGGAAACTACCATCCCGGACTCGGCCTGAAGGAGGCACACGTGGGTAAGACGACCCCTGTGTCTCTGCAAGGAGTATGATGGATGACCTTGACAACGACAGCGAAGGTAGGCACATCTTCTGTGGAGCTTGCTGGAGTCACCATGTCAATGTCGATGAAGAACTCGCCTATGCTGCTCCACCCAACAGGAAAGAGCTCGACCTTCTCAGCCTGTCGAAGATGCGCGCAGGTGCTTACTTCTCTGATATGTCTCGTGTTCGTGTCTCACGTCAAGTGTGATGTTAGTGCCGATGCCCCCTGTGCGGATCTGCGGGTCGTCTGGTAGAGTGAAGCCCTCATACAAGAGGACTTGGATGGTGCCCTTCTCCACCGTCACAGTGGGCGTGAAGAAAAAGTGAGCCACGACACGGGCGGCCAAACTCGGCACATAAGATATCTAAAACGCAAATAAGATGTCTTAAGCCATCCATGTCAGTGTCACGTACCCGAGCCTTCATCTCCTGTATCGGTGGCGGCATCACTTGCTCGGCGATCATTCGGGGCACCGTGCGGCTGACATCCTTGTAGCGATTACTCACATGGAGGCTCCATTGCTGGCCGGGAGTGTCAACATCCTCCACGCCGGTGTCGACGCCATTTGTGGCATCGATAGTCTGAGGATGGTTGATCAGTATGAGCATATTGTGGGGCACATCAGCCTGCATAAATTACACGCAATGAGTCGAATGCATGTGGAAAAAGCCTCGCTCAAGGCTCACCGGGAGCGGCAGGTCGCCGTGTGTGACGGCCTTTGTGGGATCTGTGCCGTCACAGGTGAAGGTCCACAGGGTGACATTCCCGTTGTCATCGGGAACAGCACAATCCTGTGGAAATGTCCACTCGGGAGGATGGACGATCTCAACTCGCACATCAATCGAAGGACCACCTAACCACGACGTCGAAGTAAAGGCAAACGCATCATCCCATCGTGTCTCCGCATGCCTTGCCTGCATCGATTTGAGGCGTGAGCGACAGTTGCCATCGTGCGTCTTGTGCACCGACGGCTGTGGAGTCAAGTGGTGTCCACGTGATGGACGTAATGTAGCCCTGAGGATAGCCTGTCCCCTCACGGCCATCACTGCCCTCCACAAACTGACACACAGAATACGAGACGGAAGGTCGCCTCGGGGTCTCTTTTTCGGTTCCACCTGATTGACGCTTCTGATTGCATATACGTAGACGATGAACTCCTTGAAGCTTGTGGTCAGCCCCTGCACTGTCGGATGAGCCTGATCCTTGCTCACCTCCTCAGCAAAGATAAATGACCTGCATCGAGAATAAACGCATAAGGGACAGAAATGCGTTACTTGGTCTTCTGTTACTTACCACTGCCCATTCTCGTCGAATGTCTGGTCGCCCGGAATCTCGAATGTCATCGACATGAGCACTGGGGTGTTTGATCCAATGCCAGCCACAAGTGGCCACTTCCTGAATCCCGACGTTCCCACTGGCTCGCCCTCTAGGCCGATGAAGCCTTCAGGGTCATTGATGCCTGGGAAGGCGTTGGTCGGCTCATAGGCTGTTGCTCGCAGACCCACCAGCCTGAAGCCTGTGAATTGCAGAGGCGATTTACATGTTGGGAGTGTATGTGAGCTCGAGATACACTGACCAGCTGGCGGTGCAATGAGCACGACATTGATGGTGGTGTTGCGCAGAGGGCGAGACAATTCAAAGTTCACGGTGGCGTCATGCACGAGCCCAAAGCGATTTGTAGACTCCTGTCAAGGAAACACGTGTTGACAAAATGAGGCGTATTCAACGACCGCCTTGCCCACCGTGCTTGTGCCATTGGTGTCCCTATTGACTGCTTTGAATTGCAGGAGTGTCCCAAAGGTCGCCGATTGCGTGTCTCCCAAGTAGTTGACACTGTCGGCCTCTTCTCCTATCCTGCCTCCCCTGTAGGTGGGGTCGACTACGGCGATGCGCGTGTCGGAGAAGTCCGACAGAATCGTCACATCCACCTCTGCATCACTGACACAAACGACAACCCAGTATCCGTTGCATCATTGGCTTGGCGTCTGTTTGTGCCTACGAGTTTTGCGGGTCTGCCTGCATGAACGCTCCCTTGACAAGGACTTCATACTTAGTGCCGTCCTGCAGGCCAGCATACTGCAGAAAACATTGAGGCAGGCCGCGATACTTCCACACTCAAGCATAACATCATGAACATACTTTTGAGAACTGCATGTAGAGCTCCACAAAAATGCCCGCCTTAGCCACATGCCTACACAACACAAGGCGCGACACACATCCAGACAGGCAAGAACGTTGTGAGCATGGTCTGCCCACCAGCATTTGTGCGGCATCGGGAATCCGTCTGCCGAGTACATTTCGTAAAAATATAACCCACAGTCGCTCTGCTGCGCCGCCTCAGCCGTGGTCTCGAGAGCCGCGGCGGAGTTGTCAGTAAAGGTGAGTGATGAATCAGGAGAGGTGAAGGTCGCCTGGGCGATCGGCACGGGGGCGAACCGAGTGAGATCCTTGAAGGAATATTTGACTCTGACAAAACAAGCAAGCGATCCTTCTTGCCTCTCTGATGCTGGCATGCCCCGTGTCTCACGCACCCACCTGTAGGCTTTGCCAAATTGATGTGTTTGGTAGGCATCCTGCACATCCAGTTCGAGCCCGCTGCCGTCGACAGTAGGTACCTTGCCGCTGGTGGATGTCGTGAAGCTGATGTACACTGGCCCGGCCTTTCTCGTCTCAGTGATAGCTGGCACGATACGGGGAGCGTTCGTGAAGCCTCGAGGATTGAGGACATTCAAACGGCCGAAGCGAAACCAATCGGGTGTGCCCGCATTGACTGAGATGACGAAGACATGACTGACGGGACGCACGGAGGCAGCGCATGATGGATCGTTTGCTTACTGTCGCTAGTCCAGCAGAGGTACAGAGTGTTGTTTGCGCTGCTGGTGTAGACCTCAGGATATTTTTCAACTCCCGACATCTGGAATGCATGGCCGTCCTGCGTCCACAAAGTGCCCGACGGAATGGCGGGAAACGGATGGCGGAAGTTGATACGAAACGTGCCGTCTGATGCCGGCCCTGAAATAACCTTCACCACACGCACGCACGCACGCACGGAGAAGGGAGAAAGCCCCCATCCGTGGGCCTCGAACTGTCAGCGAGGCATTTGTGTACCTGGTATATGCGGTCGGCCGTGTGGAAGACCTGCCTGTTGCTGCGTGTCGCCTCGTTTATCCCCATTGGATGCCCATCCGCCTGCTGACTCGCCGTGAATGTAATGAAGTGGTTGAGAGTAAAGCCTTCCAGCACAAGTTGCTCATACGACTTGGCCGTCTTCAGGATTGGCGTGCTCGATCCGTGGCCGGTGACCGATGTCACGTAGGTGTTGGCGAGGAGTGGTATGCCCTGCAGGTCGCCGGCAGCGTTGCCATCGGGATATGTGAAAACCGCACTGGAGGACGACTGACAGTCGCTGTCCTCCGATATGCGGATTCGGTGGTTGGCGCCGCCCATGCCAAAGCCGATGATCGTGAGAGTGAATGGCTCGCCTGAGGTCACATCATAGAGGCCGTCGCCGCCCACAGTTCGGTTCGTGTCTGGCCCCTTGACCATCAAATAGCCTGCTGGGCTGGCAAAGTCCTCCATTGAGTCGCAGCTGGCCGTGTGGGGGGAAGACTGCTTGGTATAGACGGTCTTGGGGCAGTAGCACAGCTTGTAGATGCCTGGAGAGACACCCTGTGTGTCCAGCGGGCCAGTGATGGTCACCGTTGTTGACGTCGCAAAGGCCGCTTGAAAGGTGGCGTCACCGAGACTTCCCGTGCCACATATCACATCGTTTGTTGTACTGTCGTCGAGCGCCGCGTTGTCCAGGATGCCGACAAGCTGGTCGCCGGCGGTCATTTTGGTGGCGCCTCCCCCGTCGGGTAGGCTGATAGTGCATGAGGTCTGGTTGGCACCGCATGTCGCCCAGGTGGTGTCGAAGGGTCCGTATATCTTGATCTGTCTCGTCGTGTTGTCCGTCACGGTGGTCGCATACTCTGGGGTGAGCGTCGTCAAGGAGTCCATTCTTTCCTTGCTGGTCGAGAGTCGAGACAGAAGGTACCATGAAAGTTTGTGAAGGAAGCTTTGTTGTTACTTACTTTGGCGACGCTCCACCCGGCTTCCAGCACAGCGCATAGAGGCTCGTTTGGGTGCCGTCCTCTTGATACTTCGGCGTAACATTCGGAGGGACGGGAGCGGAAGATGAGAAGACAAACGGGTGGCTGCAGTAAGACAGAATCTGGCGTTTTCCGCCTCTGTCGTCTTCGAGTCACGTGCGTACTGATCGGAGACATTTGTGCCAGCAACGGCCTCAGCGGACGTGTGTTGCACCAACCTAACATGGCAACGAGCGTTGTGAGCAGGGATGCACAGGCCCTTCGTTCCCTCTTCCTTTACTTGGTGATGTTGCTTTCGCCACACTCGTCGTAGTAATACAGGAGCTTCGTGCCAGTCGTGTCGAAACGCTAAAGAACCATTAGACCATATTAGACATTGATAAGCAGGCTGTCTCATGCGTGTATGCAATCTCACCTCAGGTCGCCTTTCGACAAAGATGATCTTGTCTCCTTCCGCACAGTCGAAGCACGTGTCCTTACTGATGTAGAGCGTGCACGCACGACCCGCATAGCACACCATCGTGCCGTTCGCCTCGGCACCGACCACCGTCAGCTCTCCTGAAATAAGAGACTGACTCGACTTAAACAGGTGCATGCGCAGTTTTCATGATGTGCTGCCTGCCTGTCGTCCATTTGTATTCTGTGGGTGAGGAAGTGCTGGTGCAGCCCTGGGTGTCGATGTCCTGTGACGGGCACCAGCACAATTTGTAGATGCCTTGAATCAGCCGGTTGCCCCTGAAGCAATCAGCAATATCACTTTGAGAAAGCGATCGAAGGTATTTCACTCCGCATGTGTGTGCTTACGGAGGAAAGTAGAATGGCCAAGTGTACGTGTTGATGTACTTGACAGCCACCTGAGGATTCACCTGCACTCAGAGACGCGACACCTGCATCTATTTCAACCCTCCCTGTTGCTGCGTGCCGTGTCTCTCTCACCGCTTCGATGGTCTCTGTCACATTGGGTCTCGTGTAGGTCAGCAGTGTCGCTGTCGTCCCACACTCGACCGCCGGATAGTTGGCCGTCGTCCCATCCCCTATGATGACCATCCAGTCGCCGGCAGCCAACCCCAGCCCTCCCCTGTAGCCCGGCGGTACGCGATTGGTGCTGTTGTACTCGAACGAGTCTATGGCCAGGTTGCATGGCTGCGTCGACACGCCACAGAAGGAGGAATGGAGAGCGTTCATGGCAGGACCTGCATCAATGGTCGTTCAGAGTCAGAGATGGCAAGCCTTCGACATCTCTCCTGCCAACCTCTGGTTTTGAGGGTTCCCGCTTTGAATGGGTATCGAGTTGGGAATATGGTGTCACCAGTGAGACGAGCGCAGTGATTCGCCGTGTACGTCCCACCAGGGCAGTAACACAGCGCATAGAAGCTGAAAACACAAAGTACTAAGGTTTCGTCTCGCATGAATGACAGCGCTTACGCAGGATCGACGTCCATGGCTGCCGATGTGAGCGGCAGTGTGTCGCTGGCATGCTGCACTGTGTAAGTGTAAGTGCCAGCCGTCGCGTCGGTGATGCCCACTGAATAAACAGGAAATCAGACGCCTTAATCCGCGTCTGTGTCTCCTGCAAGTCACTCAATCGGTGTGGCAACGCTGGCCGACAAGTTGCCTGCTGACAACATTCGATATGTTGACGTACTGCACCTCTCCACTACTGCTGCACGCCGTGCCATACTCCTGGCTCGACGTGCTGTTGATGAAGACAGCCAGATAATCATCCGGAGGCTGCAGAGCTGTCAAAAACAAAAACAAACAAACAAACAAACAAGAGAAAGGCATTAAGAACAAAAGCCATGCGAGACACAGCCAAGATGCCTTTTTCTCCCTGTCGACATACCATTGCTCACGTCTACGACGCTGTTCACAATCTGTCCCCCCTTCTCGGCCACATTCTTGCCCTGGGACACGCTGAAGTAGAAGCTCACGGTGTCGATTTTGAAGTTGCACCCGTACCCCACTGGACACGTGTGCATCATGTTGGGTGTGGTCTGAAAGCCGGCCACTTGGAGGAGCATGCCGATGTCCACAGCATAACGGGCGGCATTAGTGGATACGACAGATGATCGCCTCTTGCATGCGCCAAGGTCGTTCAGACAGATGCACAGTGAATAGAAACTGAAAGGAAGAAAAGAATTGCTCTTTTTCGCGTTGTGCTATGCATGCCTACATACCCTGGGTATCTGATGGCGATGTGCGAGAGGGTCATTCCATTGTGGGATCCCTCATGGAAGCCAATCTCACAGGTCCGCCCATTGATATTCCCACAGCGAGACGTGCCTGTCTCATACCAGAAAGGAGGCAACGGACATTTCAGAGACATGACGCTCCCTTCCTCCCATCACCGATAGGCCTCTCTCCGACAGATTCGGGCTCGCCGAACCAGAGGTCCTCCGGCGAGGACGGGGGAAAGGGAGGTGATGTGGCCGCCTTGACGAGCAGCTGCTCTCCATTCCATGTGCCAAAGGTCTTGCGGCTCGGCGAACACCTGGGGGCGAGGAAAAGGACGAGAATCGAGAGAAAAGAGCCTTGTGGTGTTGCCTGCCCACCCGACGTTGGCTGGCTCGATGACGATGCCGTCTTCAGTGGTGAAGTTGTGAATAGGGTCACGATTTTCCATTGATATGGTGAAGCGAACACCTGCAGCAACCACGAAAAGAGCCTATGAATAAACCAGTCTACTTGTTAAGTCTTTGCATGTACCAGGAAATAGGGTGGTTGCATTCGATGTGACTCCCAAGTCCGTCGACTGGTAGACATTGGCCACCGTGACGCTGCCGATAGAGTCATCTGTCATGCCGAGTTGCCTCTCAAACGAGCTGCGACCGCGATACCCCTGCGACACAAAGACAAGGCCCCACTATCAACAAAAGAAAAGGATAAGCCCTTACCCCTCGCAAGAACATGAAGCCCTCATCCTCATCGTAGTCCACATAGACATCAGATGAGCCCGACCTGAGCTCAAGAGAGTTTCGAAGCGTCATCTCCTTCATTCTGGGCACAGATCTTACCCGCTGCCACAGATCGATGGCAGCCTCGACAAGAGCAGCAACGCCAAGAGCCACTGTGCGCTCCCAGACCGAGGCGCAACAGATGCCCCTGTATAAGGCATGGACTCCTTCAGGAGGCCTCAACTTCCCAGATCGGCGCCATGACGCCTCAGTCAATTGACGGCCTCCACAATTGCTGAAGGATTTGAGGAAGCTGTGAGTGAGATTTTGAGACTGAATGTGGGGGCGTGGCCCCCCGCATGTTTGACAGCACGTGCATTGTGTGGTCTGAAAGCGATCATGGAGCAAAGAAGGTCAATGCATCCCATATATACGTATCAATAGCGCACCCGCCCAATGACCCCAAAAAGCAGAGACAATCCTCATCCCCTCACCACCATATGCCGAACAGACGAGCACAGCGAGATTCTTCCATCAAGGCAGAAACGCCATCGTCGTTGTCTCGCTTCGCCCCTGTCCTACACACACCCATCTGATCTCTGAGGACTGTACATCTCTACAAGCAAGTACGAGGCTAAGGCCTTGGTGAAAAAACACGAGCAAAAACGGCATGAATGCATGGACCCTCGGCACCCAGACGACAAAAAACGTCCCTGTTTGCCTGCGGCAACAACACCGCAGGCCACTAGAGCGTGACGCCTGTGTCCACCCCACAAAGCTTGAGCACATTCAGGCCCGTTCCCGCCACCACCACAAAGACACCGAAGCACAGGAGGGAAGCCAGTGCGACACGCTCTAGCAGGGGGATCTGGGAGAGGAGAAAAAGCAAAAGGGAAATGAGCAAACAGGGCGCAGGAATTGCATGGTATGTTCTTGGCTCACTTTCGGTGTCATCTTCCAATAAAAGACGACCGGGAAGATGCAGCAGGTCTGCATTGAGAACAGGCACCCTGCACATGTAAACACACAGACACAACCAATGCTTGCCCAGTGTTGCGCCTTGTTTGCACCGCGCCTCCACCTGTGAAAGCCTGTATGTCAGCCACATGGTCCCGGACGAGCACCGCCAGCAGAGTGCTCACTGCCATGAAGCCAGCACGCCACAGTGTCCGGACCACTCTCGGATCCTTCCACGCGGGGCCCTGGATGGGCGAGTCAGGCGGCGGCACTTTGTCCAGCCCCAACCACTGCTCCGTCCTGATGTGAACAGAGACACAGGGAATCGATGATACTACCCTGCACATGAGAAGTTTCCTGTTTGCAGCTCACTTGAGCAAGAATGGGGCAGCGAAGAGGGGGAAGCCTCCTTCAAGCTTCACGACAATGGCAGCCTACAAGAACCGAGCAACACTCGACTCCCGAGTCCCTCCCATTCGCTTCTCGTCTCATGACCCTACCGTGGCAATGAGGGGCAAGAAGTGGACGCCCGGAATTTTGTGGCCCTGGAGGTCTCGCCCAAGATTCTCTGTAAAGGACTCGCCCAGACTGTCGCCATAGAAGAGGTATGCGAACAGGCCTGTCCCGCAGTAGCTGAAAAACGCCACCAGGAAGGAGAAGAAGCAGGCCAGCGGAAAGCCCCGCCGCGGCTTTCTCATGGAGGCATACACAGTGGGAAACACCGCATGAGCCACGAAACAGAAGTTGACAATGCCGATCGTCGTGGGCAGACCTGATCGATACGCCCGCCACGCACATCAGGCAGGTGTCGAATTTATCTCTCATGGTCCATGTGGCTGCTCACCTCTCCAGTTGATGAAGATTAACTCGTCCGTCGGTGCCCGCATCGGCAGGGAAGCTGCGCTCCACACGAGGGCAACGACAGCCGCAGCCGTGGCCACGTTGCTCACGAGCGACACCATTGACACCCATTGGAGAGGGCAGAAGATCAGCGCCAGCGCCAGAATGCCGCTGGAGATGATCGATACCATGCGGCTGAGGGAGGGCACGAGTAAGTTCAAGTTGGCACCAACCAGCACCAGATATGAGATCAATACGAACCTGACAATACAAGACAATGAAAAGGCCCCTGACGACAATCATTGCGTGTGTGCCCGTGCAGCCTTCGTACCAGATCTCTAGGGTGAGCGATGCCGTGACAATGGTCTGGCCCACTTGCCCAAAAGCCACCCGTCCAATGAGCGGCCAGTCCTGTGCTATCCTTGGTATTCGATGCTCCTTCCCGTAGTCCATTGTCCGGCTCATGCAGCGGGCAATCAAGAGGCCCGTGTACCCATAGAAGACCGTCAGGAGACCACAGAAGACCACTGAGATAAAGCCGGATGCCGCAAAGGCAAAGGGAACAGCCAGAATACCGACGCCAATTACTCCATTGGATATGGTGAAAGTCGCCTGCATCACTGTCTGGTCGGCCTCGTAGGACGATGAATCGGCCACGCTGCCGCTGCTGTCATGGCGACGGACGTGCGCAATGGGTGATAAACTCGCCTCCACACTGACAACACACAGACAGAGCCACCTATGAGCCACCCAGTGTCTGAGTCTTCCCGCTCACCTGTCGAGTGTGGTTGTCCGCCGGCCTCCCCACACTCGGAATGGTGAGTACGTGCCGAAGGCCCCGCGTGGATTGATCAAATCGTGGACAGTCGCCCTGTCGGCGTCATCCAGCTGGTCAAACACCATCATGTCGGCATCGTGCCCGTCCAGCCCATCCATGTTATGAAGTGTGTGCGCCTGCAGTTCTTGGTGGCCGTCTGAGAGGCTCCTTGGCCTCTTGGGTCCTCTGTATGGCGGCACATGGTCATCAGCTGAAGCGGCGAGAAGGGGACGGGAGAGATTAGAGGAGCTGCTGGAGGGACCAGAGAGCCGACGCAGGGAACACCTTTTCGTTCTCGTGACAATCGTGCGAGCTCAATGCGAGCTTGGCTTCTTTAGCCGCATTTAGATAGAGCGATTCTATCGCATCGAGCTTCTCGCTGCCTCCCTGCATGAAACAAAAGCACGGATTGATAGGTGAGCACCGACCGCATCATGACCATCATGATTCATGACTGCCGCGGGTGGCAGATGGCCACGGTCTACGGCGTGCAGCTTATCGTATCCATTCATTCACCGGCGGGCGCAAGCATGGCGGCGCTCTTCGCGAGTGACTTGCCTTCAGGTGAGGCAGCATGCCGTGTGTGGCGACGAAGATCACCTTGAAGTTCTCTCTGTTTCCATAGGACATGACAAGGTCGGCCGCGTCTGAGCGTTACCGTCTGTAGCCCAGCGTCAGGGAGCAATGCTTCGAGTACGTGACCGCCGCACAACACACTCCAGCACACTGCAACACTCCATCTGTATGGCTGGTTCTGTTGTGTGGTTCTGCGCGCAGGGCTCAAGCATCATGTCGGCCGCGTCATCAGCCGGGCAGCAGCAACCGCAGCACCCGACCACCCTCAAATTCAGACAACTGCTCGCACGTACGAGACACTGAGAAACTCTCTATGGCATGCCTCACCACACAAGCACGGACGCGTTTGTGTGTGCCTTTGCACTTTACAGACGAGAATGAGGTGTGTCCCTACCTGCTGGGCAAGGGCACCGAGTGGACGGTGACTGAGAAGGACGCCAGGGACTCGGGCGGGCGGCTCAAGGTCGAGCGCGTGCCGCACGCCGCTGTAGGCAGCCTAGTCTACGACAAGGTAGGCGTCTGTTGAAGGAGAAGGCAGACACTGTACCACACTACACTACAGTACAATGTCCACAATCCTTCTGTGTGTTTCTGCGATGATCATCAGGATTGGCCATTGATGTCGGCCACATCATCAGCTGGGCAACAACCGCACCAGCAGCAGCAGCAGCCGCAGCAGCAGGCGATGAAGCTGAAGGCTGTCGAGATCCACCTCCCACCTGACACGAATGACGCGACGCAGCGGCTGGTGGGCGGCATCATAGTACGCACCATCACCCCTGCCGAAGTGCAGCAGCTCATCCGCCAAGGCGCCGACGCCGCCGTGTACGTCGAGCTGAGGGAGTGCCGCCGGCGCGTTGCTCTTTTGCTTTGCGTGTCTCTGCTGTCCTTGGCCATCGACGACTGGAGCACGCCAACAGCACTCGAGGAGGAGCTTACCATCGGGCCCGAGCGACATAAAGGAGAGTTCATCTTGCCGCTATGGCCGTCGCGCGAGGTGCAGGCGGCCATCCTGTCGGCGCTGATCGACGCCATCGGACGGCCCAGGATCGACAGCCTTCCTCCGTTCCCCGGGCATCCGAGGATCACCAAGAGGAAGGGTCCCATCGAGATGGCGGTGCGAGCGGGCAACCTGACGGCCGTCAAGACACTCGTGGCCAACGGGGCCGCTCTGCGGGGGCGGCAGCTGGTCTTCCTGCCACGTTGGGTGCGCACCAGCAAGGAGTATGAGGCCGCCCTGATGGCCATCTACACCTACCTCGTCCAGCACGACCCCTCCCTCGCCACCGAGGCAACGGCCAATGGCTATAATGTCATCCATTTGGCCGCCGGTGTGGGCCCCATCTACTCGGAGGCCTTCATCCACGCCTTCCTGCAGCTGATGAAGGACAACGGCGCCAGCCTCACTCACACCACACACCAACACGTCCATAGCAAAACGCCCCTGCACCGGGCGGCTATACAGTGCTCGTATCATGTGATCGAGTGGCTGTGTCCCCACCTCAGCCCCGCAGACATCAACGAAAGAAGCAGCGCCAACACTACCCCCCTCACCCTCGCTAGCGGGAAGGTCGCCTCTTTGGTGAGGCACGCCACCACCCCGTCTGTGAGAGGAGAGATCAGCGGGATGAGAGGCGCCATCCGCGCGATGCTGAGGTCGGGCGCGGCCATCGACAGGGACCGACATGTTCGTCGCCTGGTGGACGGGGAGTACGTGCAGCTCCTCGAGGAGCTAGCGGATGACGTCATGGATGCGGTGAATGGTGCCCTCAAGCCCCAGCGCGACGTCGCCGACCTGCTGACGCGGCTGCTGCCCCTCGCCCGCTTCCCTCCCTCCCGCCCCAAGCCGTCTGATGCGACAGACAATGACGCCCCTGCCGCCCCTTCCAGGCCCTCCCCATTCGCCCACAGCGACGAGACGGCCCATATCGCATGGAAGGTCGGCGCCTTCCTGCACGAGCCAGAGGCCGTCGACCAGATGCACCTCACGACCCACACCCCACTGGCTGGCCGCGTCAAGGCCGCCATGCAGCACTTCGTCAAGTGCGCGGCGACCAAGACGGCCGGCAATCGTGAGGTCGTGGGTGTGATGGCCAATGTGGGCGGCCGGGTGGTGCGGGTGCCGCTGCAGTGCTTCGCTGTCAACCGAGGGCAGCTTACACACAGACGGCTGGGGCTGCGTGAGGTAGTCCACAAGGCCCGGCTGGACGAGGCGGCTCGATACGGGCTGACGGGCGTCGTCAAGGACTTCAACACCCACCTGGGCAATGAGGATTGCCAGTTCGATTGGCAGCAGCTGGGATGGGTCGACGAGAGGGGGCAGTTCCAGCCGCTGGGCATCAACTAGCCGAGGGGGGCAGCACAGGGCCGTGTAGCGGGAGGTGTAGCAGGAGGGGTGGGCTGAGGTGTTGGCAGAGCGATATGGGTATGGGAGGCTTGATGTGTATAGACGGATTGTGTCTACGAGGGGCGGGGAGGGGTGCTTCATGGCCATTTCATGTGGATGCATCGCTCAGAGTGGTTGACCTCTGTGTCCGTCTGAATGAATGGAATGGCCGGATGACTGTGTGACCTCAATTCACGGCGAGCATTGCAAACTGATATGAAGCGCACCGATACCACCAGTGTCAGCCGCACACACACACGCGCATCTGTTGTTGGTCTGTCTGTACTGCATTGTATGTCCCCCATCCCACCCCACCCCATCCCATCAATCAAAGTGCGAAAGAGCCACTGCTTTTTGCTGCAGCCCCACGAACCATCGTTTGCAGCAAGAGCCGTGTAGCAGATAAGGGGGGGAAGAGGGAGGGATGGCGGTGTGTGTAGACTGGGTGGCTGTCCGCCGGGGTGACCGATGGCTCTATCTCTGTCTGGGGTGTACATATTGTGTGCAGTCTGATTTGTTTCGTTGGCTAGTGCAGTTCAGCCGTGGTTGATTGACTGATTTCATGCCCATGGCCACATCAGTCAGTTCAATGTCTCAGCAACCACAGGGGCCGTCCCCCACCACACCGATCCGGTACACCCGTCCAGCTATCCGAATAGGTAATGACTCGCCAACTGCCGGCGGGCCCTCCACTCAGAAATTTAAGCCAGCCAGCTTTGCAGTGCAGAAGGCCAGCTTCCCAAACGGAAATCCAGCTTTCCGGGCGGAAAGCTGACGCAAAAACGGTGCTTCAATGAACGAGAGAGCTCCTTCGGTCCTTCTGAGTTGCTGCTGCAATGAAAGTGTTGTGGGTTGCATTGCATTGGCCCGTCGACCTCGGCCGTTCAGATCATTTCTGTGAGGGAGAGATGTCCACTCATTTATTCAGCCAAGCACTCCCGGAAACAGAGAGACATTCAGCCAATCCATTGCAAGCGAACGCACACAAGAGGGACACATACAGGGGAGGGGAGGGGGGAAGGGGGACCGCCTAGCTGCCTATCAGCGCTGTTTGTTCCACCGACCATAGTGAGTGTCTCTCGTCCGCCGGCATCCCGCGGGACAAAAGCGGGACGCAGCCGGAGAGAGGCACTCACTGTCAGACGGACACATTCGTGTATGTCTTTGTGTGTGTGTTTCTGTGGTGCCTTTTTGCGCTGGAGTCTGTCCAAAGCAGCACAGACGGCCCCAAAGCACAATCCCTCCCAAAGCACATTCTCACTCACAACACTCCATGAATCATCAATGCGAGCTACGTCTACGGATGTGAGTATGGCGATCACCTGAGAGGGGGGAGAGCACACAAACGAAAGAGCCCGTGAGTATCCATGGATGGGTGCACAGCGGCGTGGCCATGCACTCACTGGTTGCTGGTTTGGTTGTTGGTGTCAGGGTCGTTCTGGTCGCCCTGGTCCAGCCCCGCATTATACGCTGCGATCATGCCCTGCTGCATGTTTTCCAGGGCCGTGGAGAGCCCTGGCATGAACGCGCTCAGCAGGCGCCCTGGGAAGCCAGCAGCAGCAGGGGGGGGGCCACCACCAGCAGCAGGGCCAGCTGCCTGCCCAGCGGCAGCGGCAGCAGCAGCCGCAACACTCTCTGCAGACATACAGACATCCATGGATTCATTCATGTGTGTGAGGAAGGAGACGTAAAGTGTGTCCGTGTATGTGTGTGTATGTGTGTGGTGGTCGAGACGCCACGCCACGCCATGCGACTCACGGCTATTGGTCTCTGCACCATGAAAAGAAAGAAAAGAGCAAAGATGAGATGCAGCCTGAGCGTCCATCCATCCATCCATCCATCCATCCATGTGAACGTACCGAGATCCTTGAGTTCTATCTGGTCGTCCTGTTCCACGACAACACACACACCACGACGCACCGCATTCGATCGTACATAATGGGTGTTTGAATGTGTGGCTCTATCTGTGTCGCGCACCTTGGGTCTGTTGTCGTTTCTGTCCTTGATGGCCTGGCGGAACTCGTCCACGGGATTCTGTGGCCCTCCCTGCACCAACACCACACCACACCACACCAGCCTCTCTCTCTGTGTCCAGCTGTGTGTCTGTGTATGTGGCCTAGGTACGAGCGGTTTGAGGTCTACGTCCAGGAATTCGTCATCCTCCTCCCCATCATCGTCGGTCTGGGTGAAGTGCAGTCTGACCAAACGCGTCGATCTGATTAAAGACAGAAGGAGGGGGGGACACAGACACAAGTGGACGGCTTCCCACCCTACCCAGAAGGTCTGTTACAGACCTACCTGTTGAACTCCACCAGTTTGAGTTTATCGAAGAGGATGCGCTGCTTGAACTTGGACGACACTACACACACAGACAGACAAGAGATGGCTGCACGTGTCTCTACGTGTCAATTTCTGGCATACCGAAGTCGATGCGCGAATCCGAAAACTCAACACGACCCTGACCGACACAGACAGACAAAGCCAGCCGATGCACCACACCCACACTGATACGAACCAGCCCCAGCCACGCCACGATACACGCAAGGCCTTCTCACCTCCACCCTCTCGGCCATCCCCGGGGGAAGAACCTCAGCCTCTAGCTTGGGATTGCTGCATGGGTCAACAGACGACAAGAGTGTCACTCAGCTGCACAGGCAACCTGCCCGCATACCCCCGCCATCTCACCTGAAACTCACTGCATACCCCCGCCATCTCACCTGAAACTCACTGCATCACACACACACACACACACATATACACACACACATGGATGGTGTACAGAAAGATCGCCATGTGTCTTCTGGCGCACGTAGCTCTTACGTGGCGCGACGTAGGTGGAGGGAAGGAACGGCCCACCTGACACGAGAGCAGAGGAAACGTGTGTGTGTCGGTCTGGACATGTGTGCAATGACTACTACCCATGTCGATGCTGGAGTTGCGATACGAGGAGGGTGAACTGGAACCTGACACAATAAAATCACACACACACACACACATTCACAAGTGTGAGAAGTCATCTCGTCTGCATGCCATCCGTAAGCTCACGTAGCATGTCGGCCGTGGAGTTGCACTGGAAGCTGCTCGAGGCACTCGGGCTATCGCTGTCCGCGGGGGAATCCTTGGGCAGCGAATAGATCTGAATGTCCGCCCCCGTCTTGTTGAAGGTCCGAACACTCTCGAGCAGCAATTCCACATCCTAATTGCCAAGAGATACGAAGCGCATCCATCCACTGTCACGCATGTGTGGCGTGTGGGCTTCTGGGGTGCTCACTTCGAGGTTGTGAAATTTGATGTCGAGACCGGGAAGGCCTTTGTCGATATGATTCACGACCACATCCCTGGATAAGGACACGCACGTACACCATCAGGGATACAACATGGATGTGGCTGGGTGTGGGTGGGTGTGGCGCTGCTTACTTCGGTGACATGATGCTGGTGTTGCCGACACTGCGGAGCCCTCCATATCCGACAAAGAACGCATCTGCAGGAGAATGACGTGTCTCTCTGTGTATGCACCCGTGTGTGTGTGGGTGGGGGGGGAGGGGGGTGGGGTGCACCTCGGTGTGTGCTTGGGTAGAAGATGAAGAATGAGTTGTCGATGATGAGCAGCCCCTGCAGCACGCAGACAGACACACGTACAGACGCAGTGGTGGAAAAGATGGTCTCGTTGGCATACACACCGGGGTCCAGCCAGATTTGATTTCGTACGACTTTGAGGTCTTCGGGGGCACCATCTCGAGTATCTCCACGCGAGCCGTCACCAAATCAGCACCACCACCACCACCAGCAGCTGACACACAGCCACAGGGCACAAGTGGTCAGACAGACACCGCCCTGACCCAGCCTCCCCCTCCCCTTCTCCCATGTCTGTGTGTGGGTCGGCCTGTGACCTACCGTAGAACTTGCCTTTGGATTGGTCTTTGATTGGCACAGTGGCCTGCTGTTGTAGTATGTCCATCACATCCTTGACCACGTCCTGATCAATGACACACACCCCACAACAGGCGCAGGTGTACAGGCGATGATGCGTGTGAACCCGTTCCTTGCGTACCGTCTCAGGGTCCTTGAAACTGACGAGGAGGTTGGGCGTCTTCGACTCCTGGAAGTCCAAAACCAAGACCCTGCACACACACACACACACACCACACACACCACACACACACCACACACACACCCCACACACACACATACACACACATACACACACAAATGTTCTGTGCATGCTCTGTGTGTGCCGACGGTGTGCCGCTGTGTGTTGTGTGTCTGGTGCATGTGTCGACTGTGGACTCACTGATGGTAGTTTTCTTTCTTGGTGGAGATGATGTGGTAGTCGATGGTGCTGAGTGAGTCGTAGGGGTACCAGAACGTCGCTGAACATCACACAAACAGAGGCAGATAGGTGCTGTGGCGTGTGTGTATGCGCCCATCGGTCCGTACGTGCGTGCGGCAGGCGCTGTGCCGGGATGAACTCGAGTGCCTTGGGCTCCAACACAAAGTCACCCTGCGACCGACACACACGAGGAGAAAAGGGGAGGGGAGGTGCGTGTCTCTCTGTGCTTTGTGTGCTGGCTCGTCTCGTCTGCCTACTGAGGTCCACGTCTTGAGATTTATTTTGGCGACGTCCCCACTCTGGCTCGCCATCGCCTTGTAGCTCCGACTGCAGTGCACGGGTATAGACGTGTGTATGCGTGTGTTCCGTTCAGGTATCGGCAGGCCTTACTTGGGTATCTGGTTGAAAGTCTCTGCAGGTGAGGGGGGAGACAGATACACACAACGGCAATGCAGCAGGGTGTGTGTGTGCACCATCGTGGTGTCATGTGTTGGTGTGCGTACCTTCCAGAGAGTCCTCGTCGGTCGCGGAACTCAGCACATCTGTCGACAAGAGGGAAGTAAAAGAAATGCATGATTTCTGCCCCTTCCCTTACCCCTCACCCCTCACCCTTCTCGATCAGGGCCTTCAGCACCGAGATCTGGTAGGTAGTCTTGAGCACGGCTGCATTCGAAGACACAGACATAGCAGCCCATTGCAACACAAACACCACACGCCAAATGTCGTCAGTTTGTGCCCACCCACCACTGAGGCAGTTGCGGATGTTGATGGATGAGGAGGAGGCGCCCTGTTGAGCCTCCTCAGTCAGCACGGCCGATCCACCTGTAGGAACAGACAATGGGCATCCTCTCCCGTGTATGTGTCCCCCGTCCTCATGTAACACATCAAATCCACAACAACACAGCCGCATGCAGCAAATCCCACCATAGCATCGCATACCTCCATTCGTGTTGGCCACATCTTGAGCGGCAGCCGTTTCCATCATGGCCTGAGTGTGCGTGTTACCAGCCTCTGTGCAAAGGAGGAGATCCATTCATCCATCCATCCAATGGCATCCATCCATCCATCTTTCCATCCAGCACACACATGCCGCCATTTCCATGGATACCCGTGAGCCCCGACTCCGAGTCCTCGGTCTTGCCTTCCCCCCCTTCGGCCACACCCTCAGTGGGCACACCTGTGCATAAGATGCACATTTGCACAGGCCTCGCGGAGGGCCTCTCCTCCAGCGTCCTGTGTTCTCACCGTGGAGCTCGTCCTTCTCAGAGCTCGAGGAAGACGCCATCATGATGATCACAGGAGTATGAGAACTCTTCTGAACGAAACCTTGAGAGAACCGAGAACTCAGATGCCTGTGTGTTTACAGCTCAGGCTCGCAAGTGCACCCCCCGAAATGCAATACAGACAGCTGCAGCAGACCGCTCGTCTGAACCCTCCCTCTGACCAGACATTTGTACAAACAGACATAACATGCAATTCACAAGGAGGAAAGGCAGGCAGGCAGGCGGCGACAACAGCTATCCATCCACTTACCAAAACCTGCCCAAGCCTTCCATCCATCCATCCATCCATCCATCCATCGGCCCATCCCTTTGTCTACTTAAGCAGAGGGGGAGACAGGTGTCGACTGGCGCCATCGGCTCTGGTCAGTCAACCGGCACCCATCTCTCCACCCCATCCCGCCCTCTCTTGACGTACCCCAACACACGCCAATCTATCTCTGGCACATCCACCGTGAACCCGTTAGCTACCTCCAGCACCCACTTGCCGTCCTGAAGCAGCGGCAGAGAAGCCAACCCCATGCAGCACCGCCCCTACCTCCGGCTCACTTCAGCAGGTCGTTGATGACGAGGTCGAACTGCTTGAGCACCCGACGCCACAGGGGCACCGACACGGGGAAGCGGGTGCTCAGCGGCGCAGGCGCATGAGCAACAGCCGACTCGGTCGTGGTCAGAGTGATGCTGTCAGCTTGGATCTCCAGGTGGGCGGCGACAGTATCGGGGGGTCGAAACCCGCTCACAACCACAAGACGCGCGTCATTGCCGTCATCCTGACGGTCGGCCACGATGCCCATCTGCTGGGGGATGTGGCCGGTGGGCAGAGACTGACGGCTGGCGCTGCGTCTGTCCGCCGTGGTTTTCACCGTCGTCCGGTGCACTCCCCCCTGATGAGACCACCAGTAAACCAAGCAGCACAGGAGATATGAGGAGAAGGACCGGTGGAGAGTGATGCCATCCCGGATGACGGGATCGCCTCTCTGGTATCCCTCGGCGTAAGGATGGTTGGCCGGCAACTCCCCCAAAGGCACCGCACGAAAGACCCGGCCAGTGCCGATCCAGTAGGCGCCGCTAGCGTCTTGTTCCAGGTTCAGGCAGTCGCTCTGGTGCGTCAGCTGGCGTCCGATAAGCCGATAAATGGCAATTGCGAGAGGCAGGTTGCGAAGGCCCCACATGTTAGGCAGATGAGTCACCGACAGCAGCAGAGGAAGTCCGGTGGATGGGGTCAGCCGATAGATGGCCGCCAGTCTGATGAATTGCCCGATGGACCGCCACTCGGCAGCACGCTGCTGACATCCCAAGAAGTAGACGGTCTTGAGGGCCGCCTCAAGGTCACTAATGGTGAAGAACAAGACATCTCGCAGGACCAGGCGGCTCATCGCCTCCTCTATATGCTCCTCGACGAGCCTCAGCATCGTGGCAAGACCATCGGGAGAGCTGTTGGAGATCTGGGAGCGGAGAGCGGCCCGTTGCTGGTCGTCGCCCGACACGGCAATGTCAGCGGCCTTCTTGATTGCGAGTGTCAGCAGGGACGAGAGGGGTGGAGGGCTCGGGGGCTTCTGATCGGGGAGCTGCTGTGTGGGCTGGGACGCCATCGGTGAGTGAGCGAGCGGTCTGAGGGGCCATGACAGACATAGAGAAAATGGGCATGCGATGCGCTTTGCGCGTGGGTGGCTTCGTACATACATGGTAGGCGGTTTGATGCGACGGTTGTGTCCTCCTGGTCTGCTGGTTCCTGCAGGAGCCACAGACCATCACCGTGTTTGATGCCATTCATACACTGGCCCTTCGCTCACCCGGCGTTCGTCAGTCAGTGAGATTCGAAGACCCAGCTGGTATGCAGTTGTCCCGGTGACGCACAATCTGGCACACAGCCCAAACCAGCAATATCAACACAGTCATCGCACGACGAATCCATCCAAACGAAAACAGGCAGACAGACAGAGCAGACGCAGGACCAGCTCTGAGTCACTGGCTGCCTTTCATCGTATGAACATCCATAGTCCGCGTTTCACTTTGCTGACCTTTGCTGCGATGATGCTATCACAGCGATTATCGGATGCCTGGGCCCATTTCTTCCCTCCTCTGTTCTCAGCTCGCCCTTTCTGAGCTCGCAAACGAGGGGAAGGAAGGGGAAGAAAGGGGAAAGAGAAGGGAAGCCTTCTTCGCCAACGAGAAGGACGGGTCTTCGCGATGGTTTCTGATCCTCGTGCTCTGTATGTCGCCCACCTGCCCGACGGATGCACGAAGGAGCATCTTGAGGAGCTGGCGAAGGACCTGCGGGGCTTCAAGGAGGCGCGGCTGGTACCAGGGCGCGCGGAGGGCTTCTACGCATTCGTGGACTTCGCTGACGCCGAGTGCTGCCGCGCTGCTTTGCCGCTGCTCGAGGTCAGCAATGAAGGAGAGGAAGGAGAGGACACCAACTGATGCAGAGAGGCCACCGTGCACGCTGTCCTGGTCTGTGGGTTGCATATGTCTTGGTTTGTCAGGACAAGAAGCTGCCGGCATTTCCCTCCTTCCCCGGCCTGAAGATCTCCTACGCCCGCACTTCCAAGAGGATCCGCGAGGAGTCCCCCGACCTGAGGACCGCCCAGCGCCCTCGCTCAGACAAACCCCCTCCCCGCAGAGGACGCGAGCGCGAGCGGGAGAGGGAGAGGGAGAGGGAAAGAGAGAGAGAGCGGGAGGCGCCGGTGGGCAGTCAGCCGTCCAATGTGGTGTATGTGGACTACATCCCCGGCGACTGCACGGAGAGGGAGCTGTCGCACATCTTCCGGCCGTTCCCCGGCTATGTGAGCTGCCGTGTGGTGCCGCGGCAGGGCACCCGGTGGCTGTATGGGTTTGTCGTCTACACCAACGACGAGCAGGCGGGGCTGGTCATCGACACGGCGCAGGGCTATCGCCTCAGCCCGGAGGACCAGCGGGGGCTGGAGCTCATGTATGCCAAGACCAGTGTGCGCGTGTCGAGGAGGGGCAACAAGCGATAGATTGTCAGGGGTAGCTAGCTATTGACGGGATGGTGTATCGTTTTCGACGGCTGGCCACGGTTTTTCTGTCTTGTTGGTGAGTTGAGGTGACGGCCGAACGTATGTGAACAGCAAGTGTTGGGGCGTGAGTGTACTTCCCTTTTGCTGGGTGGTGGGCTGTGTGTGCTGCTATTTTATCCTTCCTTGGCGACGCACCTTCCTCGGGTGATTTGGTCCTGTCAGCCCTTCTCACTGGCAGGACACAATTGTCGATGATGGAGAAGGCGCCGATGGAAGGAAAGACAGAAGACCGGCACCTGTGTGCCGTGCCGACGAGGAAGGTGCATAGACTCCATGTTTGTGTCGTGTCTTCTGCACAGTCACTGTGATGTGCTGGGTATCGAGTTCGCATGACGCACTTGGTCCCGCTGCTTGAATCTCATGCACCTGCCCGGATATGGAGATCTGGCCAGATGCATGAGTCTGATGCCAGCTCACGCTCACTGGATGCGATCGATGATGACAGTCAGCAATGGGTTAGCCATTTCAGTGCAAGATGAGGGACTCCTGAGAGATCTGCCGGCCGGTGAGACGCCCACAAGCTGGCCAAAGCCCCCACCCCTCAGCTCGCGCGTGCTTAGCTCGTGTTGGAAGTTGCGAGATAAGATGGCAGCTGAGGAGGGCGGTATCGTCTACACCAAGGAGCAGGACCGCCACTTCAAGGCTCAGGGCGCCACGCAAGAGGTACGGCATCCCGCCATTGACACCATCTCCGCCCTCTGGCCTTGCCGAATGCATGGACCTCTGTGACGGTTGTGTCCAGATGCGTGTGGGCTATGTGTTGCGTGCCGTTGTGGAGCCCGTGATGGAGAGCACCGGCGAAGACCTGGCCGGGGAGGGGCAAGTCCATCGCGAAGGGCTCAAGGAGTTCCTCGCGAAGACCTGCACCATCTTCCGCAAGGTGCGCTGACCACACAATATACGGCCAGAGATCCATGGCTGCATGGTGGATGTGGCCTTCTTCTTGGCGCGTTTGATGGATGGACGGACGAATGCATTGGATTGGCTGGGTGTCAGGATGAGTTGTCGCGCGAGTGGATGGAGTACGTGTCCCGTGAGGTGCCGGCGGTGTCGAGTCGCCGCCCGCCCACCTGGAAGGCGCAGATCCCATGCCTCACCTCGACGCTGCAGGTAACTAACCCACACAGTCCACTCACACCGAACGCACGCCACACGCGCCGATGGATGGATGGCCATATGTGTGATGTGTTTCGTGTGGTGCGGTGTGTTGTGTGCAGGAGTACACCAAGGTTGAGGTCAAGATAGATCGTCTTCGTGGCGGCGTTGCGGAGCAGGTGCACCTGTTTGAGAAACAGGGCGTCAGGGTCGCACTGGCCAGACTCATGATCATGGCACACGACGTCGTCTGTAAGCAATCAGACGAGAGGAGAGGAGAGGAGAGGCAAGCTGTCTTTATCCATGCATCCATCCATCCATCCATCCATCCACACCAAACATCTATCTATATTGACCTGTTTGACGTGGCCGGTTGGTTTGGTTTGGTTTGGTTTGTGTGCAGGTGAGACTGCTGAGACGATGTACAATGCGTTGGTGATGCGGGCGGAGACCCTCCGGGCCCTCACGGACAACAACTACGGCCTCCCGCCTCACGCCGAGGTCGGCCCACGAGGGACAAAGGGCGGGAGGGAGGGAGGGAGGGAGGGAGGGAGGGGAGAGAGGAGGGAGGCTCACTTTTCTCTCTTTGTGTGTCAGGTGTTGCGTGACAATCGCAAGGTGTCGGATCTCAAGAAGCTCTGGTCCGGACACCATGCACACACATCACAGGAAACGAGTTGCACCAGGTGCATCTTCCCGTGTGTGTGTGTGTGTGTGATTGATGGATGTGCAGGAAGAGTTTGACCAAGCAGGAGGCTGAGGTGCGCGCCAAGCTGCAGGTGGCCCACCACCCCCACATGATGCCCATGCCCCTCCCGGACGGCACACACCCGCCCCTGGACAACCACAACAACGACGGCAACGGAAACGGAGAACACAACGAGCCCAACGACCCCAACGAGCGCCTGCTGACCCTCGCCGCCATCCCTGCCGGCCCGCCCAACGGCTACCCATACCCACACATGGTGGTGCCCATCACCATGCACCCCATCACACACGAGCGCGCCTCATCCTCATACGCCGTGCCCGCGTCGGCCAAGTCGTCCGAGGAGTTCATCCAGGACGGCAACGCCAACGGCATCCTGCCCTCACCGGCAGCAGCAGCAGCAGCTGCGGCTACGGCTGCTGGTGGGGGTGGTGGTGGTGGGGAGAAGCGCATGTCTGAAGAGGCGGTGGCCAACCTGCTGTGCTCGATGAAGGAGGGGGCCTCGCTGGACACGCGGCGCGGCCGCAAGCGGGGCTCGAGCAAGGCGGGCGGTGCGGAGGGGGACAAGGAGGGGGGCGGCAGGAAGCGACGCACCACCACCAAGAAACGAGACGAGAAAATGACGCAGGAGGCCCAGGGCATGTAAGCCAAGGAGAGAGGGAGAGAGAATGGGCGTCTCCGTGTTGGATTTGTGGTGTGGTGTGGTGTTTTGTGTGTGGGCTTTTAGATTGGCGGGGTTTCTCGGCCACCCTGGCGGCATGTAGCTATCAGAGACAGACAGACAGACAGACAGTTGTTGACGGGGAGAGAGGGGGGATATGTCCATACGTACCATAGCTGACTGACGGCCGGCATTCTTGAGCAGACACACCAGACTGACCCACTCTTATACGTGTACAGACACCACCGACCACACATAGCGCTTCCGATTACAGCCACGGCAGAGGGTCTGATTGATGGGGCGAGCGATGGTATGATGGATGGGGGACTCATTCGTGCCGCCATGCAGACGGCGAGACGACCCCTGCGTGCGTGCGTGTGTGGATGTGCGTGTGGATGTAGCTGGAGAGACACATAGCATAGGTTCAAGCAGCAGCAGCGGTAACACGCACGCAGAAGGAGCACCAAGTCTGCATCATCATTGAATCACGCACCAGTGTCGTCGGCAGCCAGCATTCGTTAAGGTACAGCACATGTATGTCACCCAGCTAGTGCACAGCGAAGGAGCGGGTGGGCGGGCGGGAGGGAGGGCAGTAAGAGGCGCGTGGCATGCGTGTTTGCGCACACACACGTCACCTCATTACACTCCCACCCGTCCCATCCATCCACCCGCCCCAACCATTCGACGCTCAGAGTAGGAGAGGGGAGACACACAGAAGAAAACACTGATGGACGGATGGATGGGGTCATGTGTGCGATTGTGGCAAGGGTTCTGTGCATGTGGATGGGCTTCATTCACACACACACACACACCAACGCATTCTCTCAACACGCACACACTGCCTGCATCCTACAGGTACTCGTGCAGCTCTCTCTCTCTCACTCTCTCTGTCTGTAGCAGCAACAGCAATAGCCATCTGTCTGGTCGGTCTGTCTGTACACATGGCAATGTAATGTCTGTGCTGCCTCCCAGGCGTGCCGTGCCGGAGGGAGGAAGCGGCGAAAAAATGACGAATGAACAATCAAAGCAAAGTCAAGTCAGCAAAAAAGAGGGGGCTAGGCAGGCAGGCAGCTCACCAATCCACCAATCCACCCATCAGGTCTCCCTCCCTCTTCCCTCCCTCCCTCCCTCACCCTCTCGGTCAGGTGCCCGTCGTCACCTCATTGTGTTTGTCTGTCTTGTTTGTCAAAATTCCCTACCCATTTCCCTCTCCCCCCCACCCCACCCCAGCAGTGAACACAGTCAGTCACCGGTCACCCACCCAGTAATCAACCCATTACATACACACTTACATTTAACAGTACCGCACCGCCACGCCCCTTGGAAAGAAGACCACGAGTGAGTGAATTGTAGTTGGTGGACGGCCGGCGACGTACGGTAGGTAGGCATATGTACCAAGTAGGTCTACGCGGGTCCTAGGCATACGCAACACGCATACCGAACGAGGGAGGGAGGTTTCAAAAGCCACGGTGCTTTGGGGGGTCCGCCACAGACGTACGTCAGCCGCTCAGCCGGTCAAGTTAGTTTTAAATACGACAGCCGCGACCGACCCGCCCCCTCACGGCCCCTCGAACACTCACTCAGGAATGCATGGACTGGACTGACACAGGCAAAGAGGTCGGACGTATGAACACAGCACGAAATGCATTCATGCACAACACACCAATCGGGTCCACGAACGCATGAATGCCTCCCTCTCGTTGCCCGGCTGCCTGGGCTGGCTGGCACACATGGCTCTAGACAGAGTCCTGTGGAGAGCCATGTGCGAGCGACTTACCAATCATGCCAGACAGACAGACAGACAGACGGCCAAGGCCACCCCGCCCACCCACCCACTTTAACGAATCAATCAACAACTCTCGGACAGACCGACTCAATGTGCTGTCTGGCTCCGTAACGTACTAGGATAGGATGTCGTGTCAGTCTGAAAAATTGCCCCCAGAGAGAGAGAGAGAGTCAGAGAGAGAAAGAGAGAGAGAGAGAGAGAGAGAGAGAGAGACGGGGAAGGGAAGAGAGAAGATGGCCACACACATAGTCAGTGCATGTATGGTACAGGAAGAAGACAATCAAGACAGACAAGGAGCCCTCCCCTCCAGCCCCTTCCACGCCTTCCACGCAGTCAGTCAGTCCACGACGACAGAGGCCGCCTGAGGCATGGCTGCCCCCGCCATGCCTCCGCCCGACCCGCTGGGTGCGCCCCGCGAGAGCCGCCCGCTGCCGTCACTCTCGTCCGTCCCCTGCTCCCCACCACTGCCACCATTACCGCCCCCTGCAACCGACTGACCCGCCTCGCGGGCAAGGTTCGTCTGCGAAGGGCCGCGCATGGCTGCTGCCGGCTTGGGAGCCGCCGGGGGAACGAGTCGTGGCACCGTCAGGGAGGGGAGGATCTCTGGGTCATCCATGTCGGGCGGCCTGCAAGGGAAAGAAGCACACGGGGGAGACGGGCGGTGACATGGCATGTTGGTGTGATGTTGCATGTGGTGCTGGCGTGGTGTGGTGTGGGGTGGGCGGCTCACTTGCTAAGGCAGGGCCGTTTGGCGTCTGAGGAGCCGGCCTGGGCGTCATGGTTGGCCTGAGACCTGCAGACAGACAGATAACCACCGACCATACACGAGATGCATCTCACGTCAGCTGAGGCAGCCTTGCCCACTCCCCTTCTCGCTTGGCTCTCACTTGCGCTTCACGTGAACAGGCGGCACGAGCGGCAGAATGAACGAGCCCCTCTTGCTGCTCTTGCCCGTGTGGGCGCCTCCTCTCCCCGAAGACCCCTTCGCCGCCCGCCCAGGGCCCCCGGAGCGGCTCGTGTCAGCCGCCCCTCCTCCAGAGAGCTCTGGTACGGTGACGTTCGCCCTGCCGGGACCCGAAGGGCACGAGTGAGATGTCGGCCGGTCAGCAGAGGGCGGTCGCAGGAATGGGTGAGTCAGCAACGGCCGCGCATGCTGGCTTGGGTTTGGTGCGAGTGCCGACTTGATAGGCGGCTGGGTGGGCGTGGGGAAGGCCGACGGCTGGAGAATACTCAACGCAGCAGCTGCACACAACACACACCAAGGTACGAGCAGTGATGTCTGAGTCAGATCGGTTGGTGTGCCGGTGTTTGCTAACCTGCAGACGACTGCGAGAAGAGGGGGAACGTCGTATGCGCGGCGCCTCCGAGCCCCTTGTTTGCCAGGGCAGCCTGATCCACGACGCCCAGGTCCGGCCGCTGTAGCCCCATCCCGCCATAGCTCGCCGGGATCTGCTCCAGTGGCTTCTCTTTGCCATACGTTGCCGGAATCTCCTCCATCCCCTCGAGCGATACCGACGCCTTGCCCACACCACCACCACCACCGGCAGCGGCAGCGGCAGGAGCGTTCGGATCCTGGGCCCTCTTGATGGGGCTGGTGGATGGGGATGGGCCACCGACGGCGGTGAAGTGCTCCAGCGAGCCGAGAGCGAAGAGGGAAGGCCGCACATCGGACAGCTGAGCAGCCGCCTCCCTCTCCTCCCCTCCTGCTGCCGCTGGTGCTGTCGGTCCAGTCGGTGGCTTGTTGTGTGGGAGTGTGAAGGGGAATGGGTGAGGCCCGGGGGGCGCGATGGCCGCCAGGGCGTTGAGGGCCAAAGCAGCCGTGTCGGGCGACGTCGTGTTGGACCGTGAGCCGCCGGACGGCACAAAGGACATGGCGGGCGGCGAGATGGGCGGGACCAGGTTGCTCTTGGCGAGCTGCTTGCCGGACCCACTGGCCGAGCTGGCTCCCTTGCCCGCCATGCTCTCGAGCGACGGCAGCGACATGAGCTCCGGCCGGTCGCCGCCCCCCACCACCGCGTCGAGAGGGAACACCGGAGGCACCACGGGGTTCTTGACGCCCGTGTACTCGCCCTTCCTGGCCGCCTTGAACTGAGCGGCCACTGCTGACGGCGGCACGAGGGGGGCCGCAGGGGGCGAAGTGCCAGCCATGGGTGGATTTGGCAGGGGTGGCAACGGGGGTGGTCTGACCTTGCCCGGCTGAAAGGGGGCTGTGGTGGTCGACGCCTGTGTCTGTGCCTGTGCCGTCTTGGTCTTGAGGGCTTCGAGCACCTCGGCGATCTTGCGCATGGGCTCGATTTCGCGTTTCTTCTGCTCCTTGAGCTCGGGGATGGAGGGCAGCTCGGGGTCGCCGACAGGCAGCTGTTTGGTGGTGTCGAGTGCCATGAGGCTGGCGATGGCCTGGCGGGAAAGGGCGGCGCCCTCTGCAGGGGTGGAGGGAAGATTGTTGAGGCTCCGCTCCATGATGGCCTTCTGCTGCACGGCCTCCTTGAGCCTCTCCAGCTCCGCCCACGTACCCGGGTCAATGTCAACCTCACTCCTGCAGACACCACGAGACACACACAGACGAGTGGAATACCAATACATTCAGACGGATAGCGTGTGTGGCTTACAGGTCAGCCTTCCTGCGGCGTCTCCTCTTGCGCATCACGGCCGGCGGCACATCCCTGGTGTGCTCGCTGATGAGGTCCGACACACCCGACTTGCCGTCCGTCGCAGACTGGTCGTAGTCCTTCGGAGGCGCCAGAGGGGGCACGATGTCGTCCTCATCGGGCCCACCGTCAGGCGAGACGCCGCAAGTCCATCTGCCCTTCCGCCCTCTCTGTTGCTGCTGGGCACGCGCACTCCTGTTGATGAAGTCCTTGAGCCGATGCAGTGACGGGTCGATGTCGTCGTCGAGAGCCTTGCCGCTCTTGCGCTGGCGCTTCTTGCTGCCCTTGGCCGCCTGGATCTTGTCGCCTGGCTTGTACTCGCCATCCCGCTCGCCCCTCTGGCCCTTCCTGGGCCGCCCCCGCCCCCTCTTGACAGGCACGTCCTCGATCGCCACGTCATCGTCTTGCTCCATGTCCTCATCGCTGTCTTGATAGAGGTCGGGGTCATCGAGGTCCAGACCCTGCGACTCGCCATCGCCATTCTCATATACCGAGTCGCTCTCGCCCTCGTCAGAGTACATGTCGGCGTCCGAGCTGGCCTTCCGGCCCCAACGGTCGCGGTCGCGCGGCGCCTGCTTGTGACGGTCGCCCTCTGTCCGCCCCTCTTCCTCCAGCTGACGTACTGCCTCGAGCAGGCAGCGAAGACCATCGTGCGCCGGGTCATGCAGCCAGTCGGGGGCCTCGCCTGACGTCTCGTCGCTATCCTCCGTCGCCTCAGAGAAGGCCAGCGCCTTCTTGCTGGGCCGCCCCCTCTTCTGAGCCGCCTTGGGCGGACGTCCCCTGCGCTTCGGTGGGGGCTTGGTGAGAGGGACGTCTGGCTCGTGCTGATCAACGGGCTTGGGGCGCCTGGCGCGCATGCCGAGCATGGCGGAGGCGGAGACGGCATTGCGGCGCTCCCTGAGGGACATCCGGTCGCCCGTCGACATGCGCACTGTCTTGGGCCGCTCTGGTGTGGGCAGGTGCGGGTGTGGCCCCTCCCTGTGGCGTCGGTTGGACTCCCCCTGGTCCTGGAAGGCCTCGACGGCAGCGTCGAGGGCCCTGGGGCGGTCAACGCGGGGCGTCTTGCTCTCAGAAGGCAGCTCGCTGTAACGGTCGGGCTCATCCTTGACTGAACACAACAAATGAATAGCAGGGGGAGAGGGCATGGTATGCGATGCGGGTGGCGAGGTGTCTGGTGCGTGTAGGTGTTACCTGTAGGTGTCTTGTCCATCATGGCCCTGTCGTGGCTATGTTCACGCGCCTTTGGCAGCCTGTGCCTCTGACCGTCACCCACCTGCACACACAAGCGTACAACGCGACCGTTAGGGGCGCTGGTGTGCTAGTGTGTCCCCGTTCTGATAGCCCAGCGCATGGGCTGGCCTCATGTGCATGGCCTTGCCTTGCTGTACCTCTCGAGCGGCCTGAGAAGCTCCAGCGGCCTCACCTGACCTGAAAATGCAGACAAGTCAGACACGGGAAGGTCGTCAGCTGCAATCTGCATCCTCTCTCTGCCTGTGCCTGCCCTCTTGCCCATCCCCTGGCCTCTGTGTGTGTATGTACCTGTCGCGTATCACACTATCGTCTTGAGGTTTGTCCTCCCCCTCCCCAGCGAGTCTCAGCAGCTCCCTCTCCTCCTCAGTGTATCCCTCACTGCTAAAGCCGAGCCGACGATGGGGCGACGCCTCCACCCCATCGGCACTACCAGCAGCCTGACCGACAACAGGCAGACGAACACCACACATGCACGAGACGTCCACGTGTGTGTCCTTGACTTCTGGTGAAGTCGGGCAACGGCATCAGTGATGCCCACGCACACGCGAGAGCTGCCTGTGGCCTTTGTGAACCCACCTGCGATGCTCCAGCGCCCCCGTCCTTCTTGGACGCCTCCGGCTCACGCAACATCCCCAGTCGGCTTCTAACGGCGGCAGGCACCTCGCGCCGTTGCGGCTTTCCGTTTCGATCAACAGGAATCGCGCAACCCTCCCTCTCCGACAACCAATGTCACCCTCAGGCAGGGGGAATAGACAGAAACCGGCGAACTGCAGAGGCCGGAATTAGAGGGAAAGGCCCACTTTTACGGGAACTTGCACGCACTTGCACACCCTAACCCCCGGAGCGACTGGAATGGCAGAAGAGAAAGGTACACCGATTCGTCGCCCTTTTGACAGATCCCACGCCTGCACTCTTAAGATGCAGACGGTTGTGCTTCGTCGGGCATTGATGTCGTCATCCCTGCGCATGAGAAGGGTGAGCACATGCTGAGCTGCTCCTGCAGATCTCGCACATCGACTTCCTCTCCTCTACTTTTGGTCGCAGATCACGCCACGCTGGCTGCTGCACTTGCATCCGTCCAGCGGCATCTGCCAGAAGCCAGGCGCATCGTCATCGTCTCAAAGGTGAGAGTATGGCACCGCAGGAAGCACACGAACACTTTGGCATACACATCTCGTCGTTGTGTGCAGGAGCCCTTCGATGGAGCAGCAGCCCTTCGGCTGTGTGAGTGGTTCCCTGAAGGCGAGTTCACTTCCTAGTACGCATGGTGAAACGACACGCCATCCTTATCCACGGCAGAGTGCTCATGCACATGGGTGTCTGATTGCCCTGTGTGTCAGTTTCTGTCAACACGTCACCAGCTCGAATGGCGCCTTCGCGTGCGACGGATGGGTGCTGCAGCAGCTGATCAAGCTGTACTGCTTCAGAGTCATCCCAGGGCTGCGGGACCATGTTCTCGTCATGGATGGTACGAATCAGCAGCGGGGGAAGGGAGAAGAGAGGAGGACGCTCGCCATGCATCTTATTGTGTCTGTGTTGCCGTCCTTCAGCCGATCTCATCTGGCTGCGTCATGTGACCTTTCTTCATTCGGCGACCACCAATGCGCCGGCCTCTTCCCAGCCGTCGAGTGTGCAGGGGTGCGTCTTCTCACTCGCCGAGCAAGACGTGCCACACGTCCGCTCGCGGGTCGACCTTCACCGCTATGACGACTTCATAGAACGGTTCATTCCAAACCAGCCCATCAGGTATCGTCTCTGGCCCAGCGTGAGTCGCTCTTGGAACACTTAAGTGGTTCTCCTCTCTCTGTTTGTGGTGTGATGGCCACAGGAAACGTCACCCGAGGGCGGAAACAGCCGTGGTGCACCACTGCCTTTTCCAGCGGCACGTTGTGGAATCGCTCCTGACAACAGTGGAGGCCGCCTATGCTGAGCAGGTGATGAGTGGACGATGCGAAAGCTCATGGCCTGCATGTTGCTCGTGTCATGATGCAGGGCTCTCCCCAGCGCTTCTTTGAAGCCTTTCTGGCGTCAAGCGTCGAGCTGGGGTGGGCGAGTAAGGTCGAAAGCCGTGTGTGGAATTGGCAGTCCTTGTGTGGGTCGTTTATGCAGAGGAAGAGTGAGCGAGTACGAGCTCTACGTCAGCTTTGCGCGTCAGTTCTTCTCGGAATCGATCAAGGTGGGCGACGCGGCAGGCAGCATGACCACATCGCACCATGGCACGTTGCTCACTGCTCTGCTCCGGTTGTGTGAGTGCAGGAGCGTCCGCTGTCGCTTTATGTTGTCCAAGACTGGAGCGGTGCCTTGGGCGACCCCCCTCCTGGTGTCGATTCCATCGTCTCACACTCACACCTGAGGTATCGTATCGGTACACAAACAAGTGCACAACCAGCCATCAGCCTGGCAGTGCCTTGCCCGTGTGCGAATGACTCTGTCTGTCCGTGTAGGGGCCTGTCACCGCACGAGCTCCTGAATCGGGAGGGGATCCTTGGCAGCGCCTCGGGCAGCAGAGGGCCGGACGGCAGCGATGTCTTGAGGCAGCAGCAGATGCGTGGCTGGGCCACGCGACAGTTTGCCCGCCGCATGGCATCCATCAATGCAGCTGACAGGGGCGATAGCGGGGGGATGACGCTTTACTTGTCTAACTTGCTTGCTGCGGTAGAGAAGGCGACGTGAGCGTGACTGACTGAGGCGCCGTGCAATGCAGTATGTTTACATACCAAACCCGAACCCTGCAGGTGCAGAAGTGCGCACCACTTCCGAAGTTGCGTGCACTTTCGCAAAAGGCAGAGAGAGTTCTACCGTGAAGGCGTGTGGATCGCGTCCATGGCCAATTTCCAAATGCAGGACATCATGGAAGGTCAGGTTGGAGGTGAGCGCAACGAAGCGAATGCGTGGGTGGAAGGCAGACGCCGACCATGGATGGCATCCTCTCTGCAAATGCGTCCCTTGTGTGCAGCTGCGTCGACGACTGGGGGCGTTGGCGAGGAGGATGACAGAGGTAGGAGATCAAGATCAGCTCGGTTCGCCATCACAGATGGTGGATCTGGTGGCATCTGATGGCAGGTGTGCTGGACGAGGCCAAGATCATGGAGACCACCATGATGGCAATGGAATCTGAGGAGACTGAGGAGGCCGGTATGCACAGCAGCCACGTCCAAGATACATGTAACGAAACCATGAATGTGTGTGGATTGGACATGTCATGTGTGGCAGAGTGTGATGCCATGTGCACAGGTGGGTGAGACACGCCACATCACCACATACCACATACCACACACCACACACCATACACATCCCACGGCTCACCCTTTTGTGTGTCCCATGCGGGTGTGTGTGGAGGTGTTCGACGCATCACGAGCTGCCCCGACCTGCCGCAGCACAAGAAACTCGGTGAGTGAATGGGGAGAGGGGGGGGGGCTTCTCTGTCGTCGATGTCATGTCAAACGCGTTTCCGTCTGGTGGTGTCGTGTGTGCGCAGAAATCGACATTGAGACGGCCATTGCCATCGTCATGGACCTCAAGGAATGGCACGAACTCAAGCAAGAGCTGAGCAAGAAGGGTGGGCGACGCCCCTCACCCACCACACACGCACACATGCACACACACATGGACACAGCACAGGGTGGGTGGCTCACCAAATGTTTGTGTGCTGTGGATGTGTGTACGTCAGGCACCACGACCGAAACCATAGGGTGGATACATCGCACAATGTGCATGATACACACACACACACACATGCTGGCTCTCTCCTTCCCCCTTGCAGGCGCGAGTATGCCGTGGAAGCGTTTCAGATTCTCCCTGACCCCACTCGCACCAAGAAGCGCATCACACTGCCAGAAATGACCGAAGTATGCAGCCATTTGTCCACCTGTGCGTCTTGCTTGGCATGCATCTCTTTTGTGCGCATTTTGTGTGTGTGTGTGTGTGGTGTAGGGCGTCCTACAGCTGTGCCATACTCACTTCAAGTTCGTTCCCAAGAAGAGCATGACCGGTGGGGATGACACACACAGACAGACACCACCACACCAAAACACCTGCAAATGTGTGTATGTGCGTGTCGAATGTCTCCCCTTTCAGATAAGTTTGTGTACAACTATGCGGACGTCTTCAGAGCTGTAGAGACAGGAAACAAGTACCAGCCCCCCCGCCTCTCTCACTCTCTGTCTCATATGTGTGGTTGTATGTGTGGTTGTATGTGTGGGTGTGCAGCTCCCTGCAGGTCGATTTCACTCCCACGCTGATCGGTGTTCCGCCCATCTGCTTCCGATTGACGACGGACATCCCGGTAGAGACATCGATGCCCACGCACGTCTTTTCTTTTCATTTACGTACGCATCTTGTCGTCAGGATGGCGCCAACTCTGTGGTGGAGCTCATTAAGGATAAGGCCAAAATGCAGGCCTGCACAGGTACCGATCACAAAGCGGAGGCCACACGGTGTCTGTCTGTCTGTCTGTGTGGTGTCACTTGTGTGCTGCGGTTATGTGTCAGATGCTGTGGAGGCTCCAGTAGAGTTGAAAGAGGTGCTCACATCCGCCGCGTTCATAGCACCAGAATTCCAATACTGGACGACGGTCTGCGAAACGACGCCTTGCCCCTCATCCATCCCCATGGATCCATCCATGTGTCCTTGTGCGCTGCAGGGCATCTTACACGTGTACCAAGACAGGTTCGTCTTCATCCCTGAGGAGCCCGCCCAGAGCAGTACGCACACACACAGACACACACAGACACAGACAGACACACAGACACACGTGTGGGAGACCACCGACCACCCATGTCGAGAAACGCCCGCGTGTGGGAGACCATGCAGTGGATGTTGGTTTCGACGCTTCTGCATCAGGCCCCCCTGCTGCTGCTGCTGCTGCTGCATCAGTCTTCGCTGCTACATCAGGTACCACACACACACACACACACGCACGCACAGACAGACAGACACACACAGACACACACACACACGTGAATGCTTCCGACGTCATTGTCCTGCAGTTCGGATTGAGCGAGACTTCCAGTCGGTCGAAAGCGTCTACTACGACGGGCAGACGGAAGAGTAACCGACATCTTTCCACCCACTCGCCCATCCACCAACCCACCCACACTCATACCTTTACCTGATGATGTCGTGTCTTATGCAGCTGCATCGTCATTGAGTTCATCGACAACCTGTACCTCACGGTCAAAATCAGGTTCAACGACAAATCGGTGAGCGTCGCCCCCACACAAACTCACATGAGGAAATGCATTTCCTCTTTCTTGGTCATCAGCTGGCTTGCGAGTTCATCGAGACTGTGAAGAGATTCGCCCGAGAGCAAGGGACCGGCTTCGCTACGGACAAAGTGGGGGTAAGAGGCAAACGCAGTCGACACGGATGGCACTGTGTGCCTTGTGGCAGCATCGTGTGGGTACAAGGCGTCGTCTTTCAGCGCAGGTCAGTGCACACAAACATGAGAGACGCATGCCGTCGAGTGCAGGCTCACCAACACAACCACAACAAGGCACGAACGCAGATCCATACCAACCTGTGAATATTGCTCAGGCGGCGGCAAGAGCACCGGCAGCCGCGGTAGACACACATGTCACATATAATGGCCCCCTGACACACCTCTCTCTCTCTGTGTGTGTGTGTGTGTGTGTGTATGTGTTTGTGGCTGTGTTCGTGTAATGCAGCGCTCGAGTGAGATGGCGGGGGGGCTTGGCATGGCGTCTGGGGACCTGCGCTCGTTGTGTGTGCACATGAATGCAGGTTTTTGCAGCTCGACGCCAACTGGGGCGACGATTCTGAGGTGAGCTCTACACAAAATTGCACTTCAATGGAAGCCACTTATCTGTGTGTCTGTGTGTGTGTCTGTTGGCTCGGCGCAGGGCCGAGTGTTCGTGTTCTCCGGTCACATTGAATTTGAAGAAACCAACAAACGTACCGTAGCCAAAGGTAAGCGAAACGTGTTCAGCACACCTCTAGCCACACGATACACGCCTCTCCACCGTTGTGTCTGTCAGCTGAGTCGCATGCCAAGATCGACAAACTCGTGTTCAGCCAGATTCAAAAAGTCACATACGACACATCAAAGTGAGAGAGAGCGCGCTCCAGCTAACCAAGGCCACACACACACGCAACCTGCCTTCTCTCAGCAATGAGGCGACGCTCCACTTCGTTGATGAGGAGATGGAGCCTCTCGTCATTAATTTCATACCGACGGTGAGCAACACACCGCCACTCTCATTCATCGTGTGTGTGTGTGTGTGTGTGGCATGGATGGTGTGTATGAGGTATTTCACCCAGAAAGGCGAATATGGGGAGGATGAAGACGAATCACTAGACATAGACCTCGCAACTCTCGTACCTAGGCCACATACACAGACACACAGCTGGACACAGATAGAGAGGCTGGTGTGGTGTGGTGTGGGTTGGTGCAGGGCCTGGTGTGACTGTGTGTGGCATGCAGGCCATGAATCGCTGCCTACGTTATATATCTGGACGAGTCATTAGCTATTCGGATGACTGGACGGGTGTACCGGATGAGTGTGGTGTGGTCTGGTGTGGTGTGGGACAGCCCCTGTAGTTGCTGAGACATTGAACTGACTGATGTGGCCATGGGCATGGAATGAGTCAATCGAACCACGGTTCAACAGCACTAGCCAACGAAACAAAAGAAATCAGACTGGACACAATATGTACACCCCAGACAGAGATGAAGCCATCGGTCACCCCCGCGGACAGCCACCCAGTCTACACACACCGCCACCCAATGGCACACACACCGATCCACACCACCACCAACACGCAATAGCCATCAGGGCCATCTCGGTCAGGTACATATCGGTGCGCTTCATATCAGTTTGCAATGCTCGCCGTGAATTGAGGTCACACAGTCATCCGGCCATTCCATTCATTCAGACGGACACAGAGGTCAACCACTCTGAGCACTGCATCCACATGAAATGGTCATGAAGCACCCGTCCCCGCCCCTCGTAGATACAATCCGTCTATACACATCAAGCCTCCCATACCCATATCGCTCTGCCAACACCTCAGCCCACCCCTCCTGCTACACGGCCCTGTGCTGCCGCCCCTCGGCTAGTTGATGCCCAGCGGCTGGAACCTCCCTCTCTCGTCGACCCATCCCAGCTGCTGCCACTCGAACTGGCAATCCTCGATGCCCAGGTGGGTGTTGAAGCCCTTCACGATGCCCGTCAGTCCATATCTGGCCGCCTCGTCCAGCCGGGCTTTGTGCACCACCTCGCGCAGCCCCAGCCGTCTGTGTGTAAGCTGCCCTCGGTTGACAGCGAAGCACTGCAGCGGCACCCGCACCACCCGCCCGCCCACATTGGCCATCACACCCACCACCTCACGATTGCCGGCCGTCTTGGTCGCTGCGCACTTGACGAAGTGCTGCATGGCGGCCTTGACGCGGCCACCCAGTGGGGTGTGGGTCGTGAGGCGCATCTGGTCGACGGCCTCTGGCTCGTGGAGGAAGGCCCGACCTTCCATGCGATGTGGGGCGTCTCGTTACTGTGGGCGAATGGGGAGGGCCTGGAGGGGGCGGCAGGGGCGTCATTGTCTGTCGCATCAGACGGCTTGGGGCGGGGGGGAGGGAAGCGGGCGAGGGGCAGCAAGCGCGTCAGCAGGTCGGCGACGTCACGCTGTGGGTTGAGGGCGCCGTTGACGCCGTCCATGACGGCCTGGGGCAGCTCGTTGTTGAGCACGGTGCGGTACTCGGCTAACACCACACCGTGCGCCTCTCGGTCGGACTGCTCGGCGTTGGGTGGCAGCTGCTGTGGCGTCCGCACCATGTAGATGGCCGCACCCGACCGCAGCATCGCGCGGATGGCCCCTCTCATCCCGCTGATCGTCGCATCTCGCCGCGCGGACGGGTGGTGATCACTCACCAAAGTGGCGAGTTCTCCGCTGGCGAGGGTGAGGGGGGTCTCGTTGTCGCTGTTTCTTTCGTTGATGTCTGCGTGGCTGAGGTGGGGACACAGCCACTCGATCACATGATACGAGCCGTATACAGCCGCCCGGTGCAGGGGCGTTGCGCTAGGGAGGAACGGGGTGAGCGGCTGTGTGGTGTGAGTGAGGCTGGCGCCGTTGTCCTTCATCAGCTGCAGGAAGGCGTGGATGAAGGCCTCCGAGTAGATGGGGCCCACACCGGCGGCCGAATGGATGACATTGCAGCCACGAGCGTCGGTCTCGGTCGCGAGGGAGCGGTCTTGTTTGACGTTGTAGGTGTAGATGGCCATCAGGGCGGCCTCATACCGCTCGCTCGTCCTCACCCGACGTGGCAGGAAGACCAGCTGCCGCCCCCGCAGAGCCGCCCCGTTGGCCACGAGTGTCTTGACGGCCGTCAGGTTGCCCGCTCGCACCGCCACCTCGATGACACCGTTGCTCTCGATGGAGCTCGGCCCGGGGAACGGAGGAAAGCTGTCGATCCTGAGCCGAATTATGGCGTCGATCAGCGCCGACAGGATGGCCGCCTGCACCTCGCGCGACGGCCATAGCGGCAAGATGAACTCTCCTTCTTCATGTTGCCCGATGGTAAGCTCCTCCTCGAGCACTGTTGGAGTGCTCCAGTCGTCGATGGCCAAGGACAGCAGACACAGACGCAGCACTCGAGTACGCCCGACTATACGCCGACGCCGCAGCTCGACGTACACGGCGGCGTCGGCGCCTTGGCGGATGAGCTGCTGCACTTCGGCAGGGGTGATGGTGCGTAGTATGATCCCTTGGACCAGCCGCTGCGTCGCGTCATTCGTGTCAGGTGGGAGGTGGATCACGATACCCTTCACCTTCATCGCCTGCTGCTGCGGCCGCTGCTGCTGCTGCTGGTGTGGTTGTTGGCCAGCTGATGATGTGGCCGACATCAATGGCCAATCCTGATGATCATCGCAGAACCACACAGAAGGCTTGTGGACATGGTGTTGAAGTGTAGTGTAGTGCAGTGTCTGCCTTCTCCTTCACAGACGCCCACCTTGTCGTAGATCACCGCGGCATACGATGAGGCCGACCTGATGTACGGCACGTCCTCGACCTTGAGCCGGCCGCCCGAGCCCCTGGCGTCTTCGTCGGTCACGGTCCACTCGTGCCCTTGCCCAGCAGGTAGAAACTCACGTGGTTGTACTCGTCTGCAAAGTGCAAAGGCACGCACAAACGCGTCCGTGCTTGTGTGGTGAGGCATGCCATAGAGAGTTTCTCAGTTTCTCGTACGTGCGAGCAGCTGTCTGAATTTGAGGGTGGTCGGGTGCTGCGATTGCCGCCCGGCTGATGACGCGGCCGACATGATGCTCGAGCCCTGCGCGCAGAGCCACACAACAGAACCAGCCATACAGATAGGGTGTGTTGCAGTGTGCTGCAGTGTGTTGTGCGGCGGTCACGTACTCGAAGCATTGGTCCCTGACGTTGTGCTACAGACGGTAACGCTCAGACGCGGCCGCCATTGTCATGTCCTATGGAAACAGAGCGAAGGTGATCATCGTCGCCTCTCTCGCACACGCGGCATGCTGGCCACCTGAAGGCGAGTCACTCGAAGAGCGCCGCCATGCTCGCGCCGGCATGAATGGATACGATAACCTGCACATGGACAAACAAACAGCAGCCGTGTACACAGCCGTCTGCCACCCGTCGCAGTCATGATGCGGTCGGTGCTCACCTATGAATGGGTGCTTTGTTTCAGGAGGGAGGCAGCGAGAAGCGATGAACCAACGATACCACTAATCAAACCGCCTTGCAAGTTCTCCAGCCATTGGGAGAAAGGCGCACCCAAAGATGCCAAGCTCGCATGATTGTCAAGACAAACAGAACAACGATGGTGTTCCCTGAGGAGCCGACGTCGCTCTCTGGTCCCTCCAGCAGCTCCTCTAATCTCTCCCGTCCCCTTCTCGCCGCTCCGGCTGATGCCCATGTGCCGCCCTACAGAGGAGCCAGGAGGCCAAGGAGCCTCTCAGACGGCCACCAAGAACCGCAGGCGCACACGCTTCATAACATGGATGGGCTGGACGGGCACGATGCCGACGGGCTGGCGGAGTTTGACCAGCTGGATGACGCCGACAGGGCGACCGTCCACGATTTGATCAATCCGCGCGGGGCCTTCGGCACGTACTCACCATTCCGAGTGTGGGGAGGCAGGCGGACAACCACACTCGACAGGTAAGCGGGAAGACTCAGACACTGGGTGGCTCATAGGTGGCTCTGTCTGTGTGTTGTCAGTGTGGAGGCGAGTTTATCACCCATTGCGCACGTCCGTCGCCATGACAGCAGCGGCAGCGTGGCCGATTCATCGTCCTACGAGGCCGACCAGACAGTGATGCAGGCGACTTTCAC